AACCTTGTTGAATTGGGATCATTGTGCTAAACTCCAATCCGTCGAAACTGGCCTAGGTCTCCCCTACTAAAATAGACTACAGAAAAAAGAAACGGTACCCTTATTCTATCCTCTCTGGAGGACCTATCAGTGAATCTTTGTTGAATGCCACGCTGCCAGCTCTCCAGAACAGATCTCTCGCACATCCATCCATTCCTGGAGCTTGGGTTCGCCATGTCGCCTTGGACCCAAACATAGACTTCAGATGTTCACTGGATCGGCTGGGCACTAGGATACAGCCGTTTGGTTTTGTAGAGGGTCATGGATCCCTCAAACCATGAAAGGGCGTCCACGGCCATTGGTGATGCTCACACCGGACTTTTTGCTTATCTCTGTGATGAAAGGGTGGAATCACGGTAACTGCATCTTGAGGCGTGCGGATTTTACCAAGAAACCGTTGAGCTGTAAGTGTGTGTGTGTGTGTGTGCGTGTTCGTGTGCGTGTGCGTGTGTGTTTGTGTGCACGCAGTTTGCTCGTGGGTGTGCGTGTGCGGGTGCCTACTTGCGCGTTTGCATGTGCACGAGTGGTGCGTGCGTGCGTTCGTTCGTGCGTGCTTGGCATGCGTGCGTGTGCGCTTGCGTGCGTGCATGCGTGTGTGCCTGTGTGCATGTGTGTGTGTGTTGCGGTGTGTCGTTGTGTGGTTGTGTGGTTGTGTGGTTGTGTGTGTGTGTGTCATGTGTGCACGTAGTTTGCTCGTGAGTGTGCGTGTGCAGGTGCACCACTCGTGCACGAGTGGTGCGTGCGTGCGTTCGTTTGTGCGTGCGTGCTTGGCGTGTGTGCGTGCGTGCGTGTGTGCGTGCGCGCGTGCGTGCGTGTGCGCGTGCGTGCGTGCGCGCGTGCGTGCGCGCGTGCGCGTGCGCGTGCGTGTGCGTGTGCGTGTGCGCGTGCGCGCGCGCGCGCGGCGTGTGTGTGTGTGTGTGTGTGTGTGTGTGTGTGTGTGTGTGTGTGTCGGTGTGTGTGTGTGTGTGTGCGTGTGTGTGTGTGTGTGTGTGTGTGTCGGTGTGTCGTTGTGTGGTTGTGTGTGTGTGTTTTCCTTTTTGGTGTGTGTGTTTTTGTTTTTGGAGCGCTTTTCCGGCATTCCACTGAATAATGATGCTAAATGCGAGTCCCAAATATGTATGATTTACATCTCTATGCTGTATCATTGTTTGCGTGATTGTGTCAACAGTGTGTATACAATTGATGCAGTAGGATGTGCAGCGGGCAAGCTTTCCAGTGTTAGACACCAGGTGCGAGCTTTACTCTCTTTATACATTGGACGCTGTCACACATATTTGAGTTACATGATGTGTTACGACCCACGACCCCCGCGATATGGTCAGGATTCAATCAGCAGGTACAAGGGAAGCGTGCCGATGTGGGCCATATATAAACTGTAGGGCAGTGGAAGCAAGCTTCACCACACAGAGAACTCAGACACCAACGTCCGCACACAGTGGACGATTCTTCATCATGGGTCAGCATTCACTCTTCACAAAACACATTGAGATATAGTGAGCTTGCCTGGGGTGAAATGATCTCACCCATGATGGAAGAACCTTCAATGTGTGTTTGCTTTGAGTGGCATGCTCTAGATTCTAGATGTGTTTTGCCTGAGTCGTAGACTGCCTTCCCCTCGGGCCGTTTTTGGGTTTTGGAGTTTTCGGGGTTTTGGCCGAGGTGGTGGTCGGAGACCAAGAAAACCGGGAATGCGAAGTACGTGGAGCCAGAGGACAGCTGTCGGCAGCTTTCAACGTCCCATGCCGAGCGGAGCTGCTGTTTCAGTCAGCGTAAGAAGGCCCTACAACGAACCGGGTATTCATCAGCCTATCTGAACAAGTATGTCCAAGACAGATGAAGGCAATCGGGAATGGGGATTTCTACTCAAATGCCTCGGGAATAAGGATAATTTGTGCTGCGACTTGCGAAGTCGTGATGTTGAAGCCAAGATTCAGACATGGCCATTGCTTCAGAACCCCCTGATCAGAGGAAATACTGTGATCCAAGCTAAAGACTCCTGGTCGTCCACGGTTTCTGGTCGAATCCCGAACCATGCCAGCGCCTGACCCCGTCAGCAAACCCAGTCGGCCCCCGAGCTCTTCACAGGCGATGGGGCGCCACCTTCCGTTTCAGGCATGCGTTTAACGCATCTTGCACGCCCCGTGAGTTCCAGAACCATTGTTGTTTTCTTGAACTCAGTCCAGAGAGCCTTCGATTGCACAGTCATTGGCAAATAAGGCGGGCCAACATCAAAAGAAAAGCAAAGTGCATGACCAACTCGCATATGCGTCTCTTTCCGCAGTCTTCCCACAGTTTTATCGTAATCTTCTTGCAGTGTTCCGTTGTTTTTATCGTGCTATTGTTACCTTCCGAACATAATCTGTCATGAATGGTTTTGTAGTGTTCCTGGAGTCTTTTTGGAGCTTTTCCGTAGTCTTATAGTTGAAACGCGGGAGCCCGCGACAAATCGTGGCAAATCGCGCTGCCCGGGGGGGGGGGAAAGGTTGGTCCAGGTTGTCGCAGCCCGCCACCAGCAACTGTATACTTTCCCACTCAGCATCTGCCCTTTCCGCAGTTGCTGGCCACGTCGACCTAAAATACGGAGCGATACAGGAGGTGTTTTTTTTTTTTTGGGGGGGGGGGTGTTTGCTGGGTAGGAGTGTTAATGACACATGGCTGGAGCAGGGGCAGCTATTCCCACGGGCTTGCTTGCGGTGCTCCCAAGTCGTAGTGCGCCTTTGTTGAGATGTTTCGGGTGCTAAGTAGTGAAAACGCTTAACTTTCCCAAAGGGGGCGCATACTTTTCAGGGGGCGCATACTTTTCGAATTTTTGGGAGCCTCCTGTTTAGCGCGCAGGTTCTTGTTGATTTCTCATTGACAAGTTTCAAGCAACAAACAGGGCATGAACCCCCATGGCCTATCAAGGCGAACATGTTTTTGAGAATCACAGGGAAGGTCGGATGCCTAAACCTGTTCTACCTCATGATCATCACATGTGTGTTTCCCAAAATCTTGGGGCCCCTCCAGGTAATTTCCTGTTGGTTTCCTTTTTGAAACTGCAACAAGCCCCCCCCCCTATTTGGGTGTTGGTCAAGATGAAGCCACCAGGAATTGGACCGCAGGTTTTAGTCTTGGTTCCATTTACCAGGGCAAGCCATTTTGGGTTACCCGATTTTTGGACCAGCCATATACAAGCATTTCCACTCCAGAATGAGCTCCCCTTTTTGGTCCCTTTCTTTTCCACTACGGCAAATTTTGACCCGCCATTCTGAGACACGGTGGGTGCTGTACCCTTGGTCGGTTTACCCTTCACCAGGACTCCTCCGGCATGTCCTGGAAGGAGGCCTCGAAAGGATCAATGGCTGCGCCTTGGTGGCAGACGCCTTGGATGGGGGGAACCATGTCCATTTGCATAAGGGTTCCAAACAAACCCAGAGCCAAACCAGAGTCAAAATGGGTAAATGTCCATTTGCTGGATTTTTTCCCCTGGGTCAAAGAGAATCGGTCACTGGAAATATTCTTAATCTTATCTAGCCGGCTCAAGCAAATAGAAGATATACAACTAGCTTGGCTCTGGAGCGTGGCAATAAGCGGGGTTTGGAAAAGTGAGCGGTTTCTTGTCAATGTTAGGGATTTTCGTTGCTTTTTCCACCAAGATAAAGGGAAACCACCATTTACAAGGCAATGTTCAATGCATCCTGATCCCGGATTATGGTTGTGGCACGTCCTTCTCCCAACCTCTGGTTGTTTCAGCTTTGCACCTGAAAGAAACCAGCATCAAAATCCCAGCATGTCAACAAACTGTCGGGCTGAAACAGCAGCTTTTGGATGGCCTTCATGTACTCCACCGCATTGCTCAAACAGCCTGCAATCAACACTCGGAGGGCAGGTGGCGACATGTGATGAGAGAGTTGTATGTCACACTCTGGGATTTTCCGCCTTCTGAGCCATAGGCGTCCTTTGTAGGTTAGTTTGACTAGAAATAATAGCTGGCACTGGTTTGGATTGGTGTCATTCCATTTACTAGGGCCATCTATTTGACCACAAGGACACCTACTGTGGATGGACGAAATCCTGCACCACCTAAAAAACCCTGGATGCTGCGAAATGGATTTCGCACACCCACAATATGATTTGAGCATGGCCTCACACGACCTCACCCCAAAAAAGGTGGTTTATATGCGGAATGGCCTCCCAACCACCTGATTTCAGGCTGGTGAAATATTATAATTCATCCAGATAATTTGAGTGAGCATTTGCAACTCTTCTGGTTGAGGTCGGGATGCCATGGGAGCAAGACGACGTGTGGTTGTTACCTGGGGGCATCGAGTGCGAGCTCAACGATGTGGCGGTCTGGCAGCTCGGCCTGGCCGGTCCACTGGGAGGGAGTTCAGGCCTTGGACACTGCCTCCCCACCCCCTCAAAAATGGAGGGGGTGGGGAATTGGGGGAGGGGGGTGACCCCTGAAATTCCCTGTGTGGTTCCATTTTCCCTGTCATGGGGAAGACTAGACAATTGGGGATTCCCTTGAAGGAACCCATAGGGAATGGTTTTTCTCGGGGTCATTCTCTCATTCCCTGCTGAGAAGGACATTGCGCGCAGAGTCGCAGGAGTCACCCTTTTTCTTGCTGGTGCGATTGGTAGGGAATGGCCGAGCCCGGGTTTTGGGAATGGACCAGTTTCGGGGATTCCCTCCAAGGAAACCAAATCGGTTGGATGGTTTTTCTCGGGATCATTCCCTCATTCCCTGCTGAGAACCATGAAGTCAATGATCAACACAAATCATCAGACATTCACCGGCAGATGATGTGCCTACTTTTTGAGGGAGGGTGATTTTGGTTGCTGGGTGGGGGGTTGATCGCTCGGTGGCCAGCTCAGTGGGGGTTGATCGTTCGTCGATTTGTTGCTGCTTTGATTTGAATCTTGCCGCATCAACTGGGCGCCAGTGCTGCAAACCTGACAGCCTGCAAACCCGTGAGACATCTTTGTTTCGCTGCCCTAGATGTGGCTTTTCGATGAGTCCACTAAGGCCCGGGCCCCCAAAAACACACAATATAGGCTTGTTTCCAAGCTCAGATTTGGGTGTGATTTTTTTCGTAAGGGATCCTGTGGTGGACACCTGCTTGGTGGGGATTTATGTCCACCAACCACTTTGGAGGTGGTTCCTGTTTAACATTTATGTCCATGTTGCGTATTGCTCCGTCTGACATGGAGCGATGCCTCCTGTGCTTGGCCCCTCCACTCGACGCGACCGCGCGCGATGGGGAGAACATTCTTTAGCAGACTTAAAATGGTCCCGTTTTTGGCCTGGAAAAAATGGCTCTGACCCATGAAACATGTATCCCGTTTGTGTGTGTGTGTGTGTGTGCGTGCGTGTGCGCGTGTGTCTGCAACATGTCATCAGGGCCGGAAGTGGAAAAAAAGCGCGGGCCTCCCAAAAGGAACGTCTTCCGAAGCAAGGGCCTTTGCCTTTGAAGCCGAAATGCTAACCCGCTCCTTTTTTGGGTCCAACCAAAAAATAAAAGATGGAGCCATTTGGGGTACCGTGTATTTGTATTTGTATTCAGAAGGATTTACTTAGGAGTTACCCACTCGATAAAACCTTCTCTCCTTCCGTTCTTCCTTTCTCTCCTTTTAGTCTTACCGGTTGGGACGCTTCTCCCTGATTCTCCCTTGGCGGGGGTGGGTTAGAAATTTGTTTGGGGATGTCAAACGCCAAGCTTCCGGAAACGGCGAAACCAGGCTGCGGGGCTTGGACAAGGAGCCGCTGGCAGAAGTCTGGGAGAACTTGCTGCGCTTCTGCGAGGAGCCGGGCCACGATGATGAAGGCGCCGGGAATCGAATCCGCTTGATAAAACTTTGGCTTTCTGAAACAATGATTTCTTTATTCCCCTTGTTGGTGTTAGAGGGAGTCTATCACTGCTGGAGATATCTTCTCATTTTTTCCAGGGCGGCGTATTTGCACATGGAAGTTTAAGGGGCGATCGATGCAGGTCAGGTAAGTGGTGAGTAAGCCTGGCGAAATAACCCACTCAAAAGCAATATATTTTCTGATCTCCATTCAGTGGGTTATAGCCTGGCCGGTGCCGCCGCAAACAAAAGGACTTCATCATCCGTATCTTTCACACACACACACACACACGGCACATTTCTGAAGTTGAGACTGGGTTTGGAAGGGACTTTCAGGCGGAGTCATGGAGTGCAAACTTGGCGTTCGCTAGTTCCGTTTATGCGTTTGCCTGTTTCCGTTCTGCGATGTCTGCGTGCACCAAAATTCGGCTTCCCTTTTACGTCAAAGGAGGCTTCCGCCCAAAAAAGGCCCCTCCAGGCACCTGGCCCCAATCTTGTCTGCTTGAAGGAGCGATCGGGTACGTCCGGCAAGTGGTTCGTAAGAGCGGGCTTCGCAAGCGCATCCATTTTAGAGCGGCATGTGTGTAAGATGAAGCTGCTTGGGAGACTCGTCCGATCCTCCGTCCACATCACGAAGCACAAGATCAATGAAAGGAAGCCAGCTTGCTAACATATCGAAGGTCACACAGAGGATTCTCATTGCTTGGCACAGAGGTTGCCAAGCCTCCATCTTGCAGAAACAGGACTGGGGCCAATTCTACTACAACCGTGACCGTCACCAGCACAACCACCACAACCAGCAGCAGCAGCAGCAGCAGCAGCAGCAGCAGCAGCAGCAGCAGCAATCTACTGTGATTGAGGGCTCATCTTCTTCGGGCAGAATCAAGCAGACTTTGTGGCATGCGTCCTAGAGCTCCTGCAATTGGCCCAAAAGTCCACCGCCCTTGTGCCCTGTCCTTCCGCTGCTTCTGACTCTTCGGCTCCCTTCTTCCCAGTTCGCCAGTGATCCCAGCAAAAGGGACATGTCTTTTGCGGACGATTCCAGTTCCAGTTTGGAAACCGGCTAAACAGAAAAGGACAAAGGGTACTGCTAGAGTCTTTCAGGATTTTCTTTGTCTGCCTGCCTGTTTCCTTGCTTGTTGCTTGTTTGCTTTGTCGCTTGCCTGCTGCGTGCGTGTGTACGCTTGCTTGCTTGTGTGTTTGCTTTGGTTGGGTTGCAGTGTGTACGTTAGTGTTTGTTCTTTTGTTTGGTTGGTTGGTTTGGTTTGGTTTGGCTTGGCTTGGCTTGGTTTGGTTTGCTTGCTTGCTTGCTTGCTTGCTTGCCTGCTGGCTTGTGCGTGTGTTTCTTTCACTGATGGTTGGTTGGTTGGCTGGCTGGTTGGCTGGCTGGCTGGCTGGCTGCTTGGTTTGTTGGTTTGTTGGTTGTTTTGTGCGTTGGTTTGTTTGTTCTGTTGTTTTGTACATTGTGCTTGTTTGTGTTGATTTGTATTATGTTGACTTGTTCTTTGTTTGTTTGTTTTGTTTATTTGTCTTCCTTTTTGCGTGCTTGTTTGGTTGAATTGGTTGGCTGCTTGACTGCCTGCCTGATTGGCCCGTTTGCTTGCTTGCCTACCTACATGTGTGCATGTGCTTGCTTGTGTGTTGCCTTGATGTGGTTTGCATGTTTTTGTTTGTTGGTTGGTTTGTTTGCGTGTGTGTTTGTTTGTTTGTTTGTTTGTTTGTTTGTTCGTTTGTTTGTTTGTTTGTTTGATTGCTTTTTTTGTTTGTTTGTTTGTCTGTTTATTTGTTTAGTTGGTTGTTTGCTTGTCTGCTCGCTCGCTCACTCGCTCGCTCGCTCGCTCGCTCGCTTGCTTGCTTGCTTGCTTGCTTGTTTGATTCTTTGTTTGCATGTTTTTGTGTTTGTTGGTGGGTTGGTTGGTTGGTTGGTTGGTTGGTTGGTTGGTTGGTTGGTTGGTTGGTTGGTTTGTTTGTTTGTTTGCTTGTTTGTTTGTTTGGTTGATTGATTGTTTGTGTTGTTTTGTTAGTTGTTTTTCCTGTTGTCTGTCTTGTTTTGATTACTGTTTTCCCGGTTCTTTGCTTGTTTGTTGTGTGTTTTCTGGCGTGCTTGCTTGTTTGCTTGCTCGCTGGCTTGCTTTCTTGCTTGCTTTCTTTCTTGCATTCATTGTCTGCCTTGAATTGGTTTGCTGTGTGTTTGTTTGTCTGTTGTATTGCATGCATGCTTGCTTGCCGTTGCTTGCTTTGATTTGATTCGCGGTGTTTGTTTGTTTCTGTGTCTGTTTGTGTCTGTCTGTGTCTGTCTGTCTGCCTGCCTGTCTGTCTGTCTGTCTGCCTGCCTGCCTGCCTGCCTGGCTGTCTGTCTGTCTGTCTGTCTGTCTGTCTTTCTGTTTGTTTGTTTGCTTGTTTGTTTGCGTGCTCGTGTATTTGTGCTCTTGTTGGTGTCGGTGGGTCTGATTCTGGTGCAGGTGTTGGTGTTGGTGTTGGTCCTTTGCCTTCCAGATGACCAGGGTCATAAATCGCTCTCCGGCACAGGTTGTGCGTCATATGTTTGACTGATTGCCATCAAGCGGTTAGTGTTCCTTTCCTACTAGGCAGAAACCCACACGCCGACCCACGGAAGCTGCAAGCAGCGCCAGGTGACAGCTTGGGCCCCATGATGGGCGTTTGGTACTGTCAGAGGAATCAGCTGGAGGAGAGCTGAGTTGCCTCGAGTCGAAGGCATTGGAACAGCGCGCCACACCAATGGGAGGTTCCGCGAACTTTTTTTCGGCGAGTTTCCCTTGCAAGTGGGACAATGATGTTCTAGGTGCAAGCTGCTTCTTCATTACTTTGGTGCATGTTGCTTGGCTGTTAGGACTTTAACTTTTTGCCAACTAATGGGTTTACCGTATTAAACCACTAAAAGTTAAAACTTTTAGCAGGGGAGCAGATTCAGCAACCGAGATTATACATGACTGAATCGTTGCATCTTTGGTCAAGGCATCAAGGTCGTAGATAAGTTGGTCAGCCGAGCTCGGTGTCTAGTGGGCGAGAGAATGCTCCATGCGGCCTAGCGATGCTGGAAAGCGGCAATTCGTTTGGCACTGCATAACCTTTTGACCCGATGTCAGCAGTCACGCTAGTTTTTGTTCCCTGGACGCGGATCTCGGACATGGCAAAGCAAACATGTCCCTTGCAAGTGTCAAGTCAAGACGAGCTTCTATGGTTCCAACTGACGATCATGGGGGCTGGGGGGGAGGGAGGGGGAGGGGGAGGGAGCCCAAAGCCCTTAATAAGGCCTTATTTAATGCTAATTTTCTCTCGCCCCCCCCCCCTCCCTCCCCCTCAGCCCCCATGAGACTAGGCCTTCCAGGCTGGTTAAAGTACCCAGACTCCCGTGATGAGCTCTGAGCTGGCTAACACACCACAGCCCGGAAGAGACAAGAACTTCCATTTGCTGAAATGAATATTTTTCATTTTCCCTTGTTGGGTTTAAAAGGAATTCATCACTACTGGACATATTTTCTCATATTTTTGAACCACAGCCGCCTGTTCAAGCTTTCACTCCTAAGAACCATGCGCCAAATTTTAAGTCATTGCCGTTGTGCAAAACTTGCTGGTTCTCCGAAGGGAAAGACCCCGAGGAAGACCTCCCGGGCCCTATGGTTTCCTTTAAGGGAGTCCCCAAAACCGGTTCAACCTATCGCGCCAGCAAGAAAAAGGCAAACAACAAAGATCACCCCCCAACTTTAGCACCCAGCTCCTGGACAGTCAGGCATGGCTAGAGAAATGAAGGGAAACCATAGGCCACAAAGGGGTTTCCGTGCCATCTCCCTTTTTGGAACCTTCAAAAGTGGTGTTCTGTTGCTTGGAAAGGTTTTGGATAGAAATAGATGACACTGGTTTCCCATCTATTTTTCCAACAGGTCACCTACCGTGGATGGACGAAATCCTGCACCACCTAAGACTCCCTGGAATGATGATGGGCCCCTGTAAATACCAACAAACCACTGGTTTCCCATGTTTCAAAGTGGTGCGAAATGGATTTTGTCCATCCACAGTAGGGCCCCCCCCCCGCGTTTTTAGGGTAGCCCCCCCAAAATGGCGTCGGTAACGTGTCCTCTTCTACCCCCTCCACATGGCTTTCCTTTTGGAGTCCCTCCACGGTATGATCCCTGTTCGTATTGAGAAGCCGCGGGTGCCATTCGCAGGACGCAAAGGAGCTGGTGGCGCTGCAAGTGGATCCCACGCTGGGAGCCACAGCCAAGACGTGGTTTTCTCGCGGCTGAAACGGTTGAGTCAAAGGAGAAAAAGTGGAGTGGCGGAATTCCCAAGTGGCAAAATGACCCCCCCCCCCCCACAAAAGTAGTGCCAACTGTTACCAACTTTTTGGTTGGGAGGGTTCCCCGACTAAAATAGTCTACCCCCGCCCGCCGCAAAAGCAAAAGAAGACACTAGGTCCCCACTAGTGCCAACTGTTACGAACTTTTTGGTTGGGAGGGTTCCCTTACTAAAATAGACTACAGAAAAAAGGGTACCCTTATTCTAATCTCTCTACTGGAGGACCTAGGACACACACAATGGTTGCCTTTTTCTACCACCCCCCACCCCACCCATGCCAAGAAAAAGTTACCGTTTTCTACCAGGGTCACCTGGCAACTGAGAAATGACGTCGTTCACTTGAAGCGCGTTTTGCGTCGCAAGCATTGCCCACGCTGACAGAATGCGCATCTGCGACAAGATTGACAAGTCGACTTTTTGACCGTGGGTTGGAATCGTTGCAGTTGTCAAAACCAAGTCTTGCTCGGTCCTGCTCCCCCACAAATTGCGATTGCGGGGGCCTGAATGAATGTTCGCTGGAGCATGTGCTTTGGCATTTCATTTCTCAGCTGTCAGCATTTGTTGCAGTCACCACCGCACAATCTTTGTTACAAACATGGAATTACTGCTGTAACAACAGAGCGGGTTTTCCGATCGTCAGAGATTATGAAGTTGGGAGACCGGACAATCTCTGCGGCAAAAATAGAACAACGGAGCGAATATTATGATCGCCAGATGAGCCACATCAGAGTATCTTGTTTAAGTGAAGTTGGGCTCATATGTGACCCGAATCTGACTTCTTGGCGCATAATATGTTCTAGTCATCCGCGCAGAGATACTTGATACAGCATGATATTATGTATGTATATATATATGCAAAAGTTTCCGATGGGCAATGGAATCCTGATGTGTTTCGTGCGTGGAAAGATGTCCCAAGCGCGGCGCAAATGTACTAGTCACTAAGATATGCCACATCTGTAGGCTGATGCATCGGAGTACCTGAGTATGAAACTGGCAAGCAGCAATGGCTTGCCAATTAGTAAATACCACGGCAACATTTTTATTGAAGGCATCTGTGTAGATGTTATGAGCTCACGCAAACCATGTGGCATTACCGACAAGTTCGGCGACAGCCGCCTAACAAGATCCATCCAAACCACCAGGCCAACACATGCCTAGCGATGGATTCGGTACGTCAGGTAGGTGGTCAGTAAGCCTTTGGAAACAACCCACAGAGAGGCTTACGTTTTTTGGTCCAGTCTCTGTTCAGTGGGATCTAACTCACCAGGCTTAGGATCACCACTTACTAGGGCCCCCGGCCCCGCGTTTTTAGGGTAACCCCCCCAAAATTTGCCTTGGTTGTGTCCTTTTCTACCCCCTCCACAATCATGGCTTTCCTTTGGATTTCGTTCAATCCATTTCGCAACACTTTGAAACATGGTTGAAACCATTGGTTTGTTGGTATTTACAGGGGGAATCAGACCATTCCAGGGAGTCTTAGGTGGTGCGACTTCTGGATTTCGCAACCACCCACGGTACCATCTCCATCCGCTCCGCCCTTCAAAGCGAGGCTGGGGATCCTGGAGGCGCGCTTCGCGGCGCAGGCCGCGCCGGTGATCCGCGGCTTTGCCATCAGCGCCCCTCGGACGGCTTTGGAGCGGAGGGGTTGGAGCGGGGGTCGGAGGGGTTTTTGACGGGTGGGTAACACGTGTTCGCGGCTTGGTTAAAGGAAGCCAACGGTGGTGCAACCGAGAAACAACAATTTATCTCAGTTGTCCAAAGCGAATCGACCCGAAATGACCTTTTGGTTTTCCCATTTTGGTAACCATTTTTAGTATAGGTGCCAAAAGGTTAACCTTTTAGTTCTGGGTGGCAACTGAGTTATATACACACCCGTTTGGGGTAGGGAAACGGTTCTCTTTTTGGGTTCTCAACTTGGTGCGAAATCGAATTCCCCGAAAGGAAACCAGCAGTTGGATGCTTTTTTCTCGGGGTCATTCCAATTCTCCTGGCCCCTGCCTCTCTCGAACCAGCCAGTGGTTTGTCGCAGGTCTCCGAGCCATGTCCAACTTTTTTTCTTTTTTTTCGGAAAACGCCTGGTTGGTGGGATCCGATCGTTTCAAGGGAAACCTCCAGTAGAAAAGGGTCAACTGTGGACTTGGGGAAATCCAGTCCCTGTTGTCATTGTACCTACCATAGGTGTCCTGTTGATCGGCTAGTTCGGTTAATGGACAGGTTCCACTGGTTTAGATTGGTTTTATGCCCCATGAAAAGCAAGGTGTGAACCCATCTATTTTACCAAACTACACATATGCCTGCAACGCTCGCGGAGGAATCATTTGGAGCCGCTGTTTTGAGCTGAACGTTGCTTAGAGGATGTCCATCCGCAAAAATCCTTTTCGAGAGAAAATGCGTCGATCACCTGATAGCGTCACAATGGAACCATTATACCTTGGTGGCTCCCAGCCATCCCCTTAGCTTCTTAGCTTTTTAGGGTTTAGTGGATTTCCATTTAGGCTACTAAAAGTTGGATCTGAAGGCAGCCGATACGGGCTATACACCCTGTTTTGCCTTCGGTCATTCTGAAGAGATGTTCATCTTATACATTGTCTAGGTCCCCCAGTAGTGCCCTTTTACCCCTACTAAAATCGACTACAGACAAAAGGGTACCCTGAGCCCTCCAGGCGACACGAATTGCCAAAGCTGTGCCTCTCAGTTGTGTGGCGCCACATTTTCCAGGGCTATTTTCAGCAAATATGCTTCACGAGCCGTTCAGGGAAGGCCTGCGAGTTGGGACCTCCCTGCTATATGAGGTCCTCAGCAGTTTGCTTCTGCTATATAATCATGCATTTAGTTTGATAACGTTGAGGAGCTGGGCTATGGCTGCAAGCCCCAACTTTGCCCGAGACCCTCAGGTCTGTTTCTTGGTTTATGCATGGTTCTTTTAATTGTGTCCCACTCCGGGGAAAAGGATTCAGTCAGAAAAGGATCTCCGCCGCCGCCACAGGTCTCCTTTTTGGTTTGATTGAAAAAACAACAGGGCCCTGGTTTACCTGCTGGTTCAATCATCTAACAGATCGAATCTATGTTCCAGAAAGGGCAGCTCTGATCCCCGGCCATGTCCAGCTTCCGTTCAAAGTCGACCCTGATTCTTATGCATGCTGGTTTTTCTTGTGCCCCACTCCTTTCTTCAAAAATGGGACAAGCATCCCCGCCCAGGGTTGTGGGATCGCTCGGGGTTTGTCCCCACTTCTGGTCTTTGGGAGGCCCTTTTTGTTGTATCACAGAAGTGGGTTCCATTTCACTTCCCCAGAATTATTTCCCCTTTTACTTTTTTGCTTTTTTGGAGTCCCCTTTGTTTTCCACTCACCAGGCAAAAAAGATGCCATTTGTTGCTGGGGTCCCAATTCCAGCCCAGTTCACACCGCCCCGTCCCCGCCCCTTTCCACCGGCTTCCGAGGAGTTCGGGCGCCACGCCTTCCGCACGCAGATCTTCTGCTCCGACGCGGCGCTGAGCTACGCGGCCCTGGTGCCGGACGCCAAGAACCGGGAGGTGCCCCTCTGCAGCCCCCAGTTCGCCGGGAGACTAGGCGCGCGCCTTTTTTTGCGCATGTCATGATGAGGGCCCTGCAGGAAAAGCGCTGGGAGCAAAAGCCGCAGCAGTTCTGCACAGGTTCATCCATTTGCTGATATGATTTTTGTTTTATTTTATTTTTCCCCTGTTGGTTTTTAGAGGGAAGCTATCATTTGCTGAAATGTGTATTGTTTCTTAATTATTGTTTTCCCCTGTTGGTTTTTAGAGGGAATATATCACTACTGGACATAAAAAAAAAAAAAAGAAAAAAAAAACGGGGCTTAAGCAAATCGAAGTGTCATGGAGACTCACCCCACTCTGACGCGTTGCGGGCGAGCAGAAGCTCGTAAGATGTGGCGCGCAGGTCTACTCACAGGCACTCCCCAAGCCGAATTGTAGAACATGCGCGACTTTCAAGCGAACGATTGGCCTTGATGACGATACAGTCGTCGCGACGCCGCTTTGCACATTAAAGCATTGGCCCCCGCCGTTGCTTCCCACGAGCGTTGGCGCGAGTGTTGGTCACGCAAATTTTAGTTTGGGGACGGCTCTGACTGCGCAAGTGTGATGAAACAACATTGTATCCTGCTTGAGCGGTTGAACCTTCGCATGCTTATGAAACCAGAGAAGTCCCATGTTGGGAGGTTGTTTAGTTGGAAACCATAGTTGAACTTACAAAGTTGGACCAGTGATGAGGCCATTTTTACTTTCTTTTTTCTTGTTTTTAAGAGGTTGAACACACTCAAGGCTCTTCTCAGCGAACGGCCCGAGGTTTTGGGAATGAACCCAGGGTTTCGGGAATAAAACCATAAGGGGATGGATTCTCATTCCACGTCTCAGTCTCATCAAACCAGCCAGGTTCTTCCAGGGTCCTTAGAGCCGCGACCTGCCATGACTAGTCTTTTTTTGTGGCTGAGAACCAGGCTCACCACTCTAGGTCCCCCAGCTAGGTGCCCTTTCTCACCCATTTTTTTTGGGTGGGAGGGTTCGGGCCCCTACTAAAATGGACGACAAAAAAAGGAAACGGTACCCTTATCCTAACCTCTCTACTGGAGGACCTAGCGCTTGCTGGCCGAGTACCCTGCCCCTCTGAGTAAGGGGTCACCGAGTGCGAAGCCGCCTATCACTCACTTCCTGAGTTCACCGACTTGGAACTTTTAGGGAAGACCGTTGTAGCGGTAAAGAACAAGTTTGGACTTGTTTCGGCCCATCTCGGTTTGTGAGAATTTGTTGAAACCTCGAAATGAACATGGAAATCAATGGGCAGTGACGACCATTGACCCTCTTGAAGCGTACTTGGGTGTTTGGTTCTGGCCCATCCATCAAACCTCGCGAGGCGGTCCTCGCCGGTCCCGCCGGTCCCGGCCGCGCGTCTTTTGTCGTGACACGATTGAAGCGTACTTGGGTGTTATGGAAGCGTTGGGTGTTTGGTTATGGCCCATCCACGATCAGCGGGTCGTAGCCGGTCCCGGCCTCGCGGTTTTTGGTCGCGAGGCTTCCTTCCCTCCATGGAGTCTTTGGCGCTCTTCGACGACGGCAAGCGGCTCTGGGTGCCGCCCACGGCGCTGCAGGGGCTGCTGCCGGCAGTGCTGCTGGAGGCACCCGACGGAGAGAGAGCAACGCCTGCTTAAAGGGGCAGGGTGCGTCAGGGAAGTGGGGATCGTAAGCCTGGAGCTATAACCCACAAGAGCCATTGTTATAAGTTATAAGTCTAAGTGGGTTATATCCGGGGGCTTACTCACCACTTGCGAAGTACCCTGCCCCTTAAACTGTTCGGGATACCCTCCCACCGAATAACGCGAGTTTGTGCACTTGGACCCCATGTAGAAAGATGACTTTCCTCTTGGAAAGGGGTATTTGCACTTCCACGATAGTTGGTGGGAGGGTATTTTTGGGACATGATTGAGCATTTGGTTCTGTCGTTTCTTCCCCTTGTCCCGCTTATTTCCTTTAAAGACCACCAAAAACGGGGGTACCTCAAACAAACTGCTGCTTCTCAGGGAATGATCCCCTAACCAACCCTCTTCGGTTTACCGTCGAGGATATCCAGATTCCCAAAGTCGAAGTGAACCAGACTCAAAACCGTTTACGTTCCGACACAAGCAAGTTGTTCTAAAGCATTGTGTGTTTTATGTTGCCACATTAGGATGCCACATTCTGTGATACCAAGGGCGTCCCCTTTTTGAGCGACAACATAGCCATAGGGGAAAGCCCACGTTTCATAGGCGAAGTGTTTGCAAAGACAGGACTGGACAGCCACACACAGTCAAACACGCCTTCTCAAACGTATTGAAAGCTTTGCCAGGTGACGCTTTGACGTGTGGCAGAAAGATAGGATTGGCACCCCTTACCTGGGTCCAAAGAAGGCAAGTGGACGATATCCGCTCGCACCAGTTTGAAAGCGTGGGAAACCAAAACGTTAGTTGGTATGTACAGGAGAGTCGAATCGTTCCAGAGTTTCTTATGTTGTGCGAAATGGATTTCGTCCATCCACAGCACTCTCTAAGAGCAAGCTGCAAGCAAAGCACTTTGCTAATCAACAGGTTGGCAAAAGGGACGATCAACCTACACATATTTAGCCAACAAACCTGACAAGTTGACACACTTCATAAACACAGTGCGACAGGTGCAATTTCCGGATTGTCAACAACATTGATAAGTGGTTGTTGGACCGCGTTGTCTCCTCGCAAGGATTCAGAGCAAGCTTGATTTGAAGTTTCTGCCTAGTACAGATGCCTACCTGGACGTATCGTATATCGATAGGCTGCCTTTGGGGTTGATCCATATTCCCTTCGGCCCGCAGTTTTGACCCCGAATAACTATTTTCACGAAGGGGATGTACAGCCACTATATAGCCAGTATATAAAGGGTACATAACCCCAATTTCCCCTGGTGGTTTGGGGGTAGTGGACACCATCCATCTTGGAGGTTTTCCAGGGCATTTGGCAGGGGTGTCCATTTTGTGACTGCCAACAAAAGCATTGGGTTGTTCCACTACATGCAAGCCAGTATTCAGACAGTATATTGGTGCCAGTTTGCATTTGTACACTGAACGTGTGTGAGGAGATGTATGTGCAAATCATGGATAGCCCACGCTTTGCTTCTATCGGCCTTGGGAATTTATAGCCCAATGGCCTATAGTGTGCCCCTGTGACTGTCAGTGGCATACCACACTGCCTTGTCAATCAAAGAAAAGCGTTTGGTGGAATTGCTGCAATGGAAGCTGCCATGTCAAGAAATACCGCATAACCGCGAATCCTGGGGAATTTATAGCCCAATGGCCTATAGTGGAATCAGCCTTCATCTTCCAAAGTTGGCAAACTCCGCTCTCCATGGAAACCGTGAAGCGGATCTCGCCAGGGCATGCGCTTTTGGGGCTCCTGCGACTACCACTCGGGGGCAGTGGGATTTCAAGGCGCCGCCAGAGGGTCGGAGGGAGGGACATCTTGGCTATTGCTTCGCAAGGATTCAGACATGGAAGCTGAATGAATTGCACAGAGCCACTGCTGTGTGCATATATATATATAATATATATAATATATATATATATATATGCTTGTATCTCTATATATATATATATAGACGTAGGAGTCAGCTGGGCAACAGGATGACCCATCGGAGTTTGTAGTTTACTGTGGGAACGACCTGTAAATCCTTGTGTAGTTCCAGTCGATGATAGACATGATAGGACTTCACTTGTTCAAATGCAGTGCCAAGACAGGCTGACAGGTTGACTGATGCTTGGCGCAGCAGACGTGTGCAGGCCAGCCATACAATCCCCCGGTCTACAGCAGTCTCAGCTACACCATTCACGTCACCTGCGAGGATGGAGTTGCAAAGGAAGCTTGGCAGAGAGTCTCGTGACATTGTTGCGTTGAGTAAAAATTCGAGCATGTTGGCATCTTCTCAGAAAGTTAAATGTTGCCAACATGCCCAGACAGAGTAGATGCACCAACCATTCCACACCCTGATCCCTTCTACACTAGGCGACTTGATCATATCAATCTTCTAGGCTTAGAAGCTGGCCAATTTTTGCAGGGCACACTTGGTTTTACCAACCTTCTAGGACGGCTAGAGCAGGTACACCTGTTAAGGATCCGCAGTTTCAGGACAATATCGTGAAGAGAATGGATCTCAGAATATGTTAATGTTTTCCCGCCAAACGCCAACAGGCCGTTGTTGATTTACACGTGGAAAGAAGCTTATTCCTGGCCTTGTAAGAAGAAAGCCTCAGTCAGCACCCAAGTCAGTGCCTGATTGTTGTTTTTTGGGTATGATAAACATATTAGTGGCAGTTGCTGTCGTGGAAATGCTTTGTGGGAACAAGGAGAGCTTGGCAATTAATGATTGAGAACCCTGCACGTTTCTGATATGGGCATGTGAAGCAGATCACAAAATCAGCCTGGCAACTGACATTGCTTAGAGTCCCCAGCAACATCAACCAAGTTACGGGGATAAGTAATTCCCCACACACTGTTACTTATTTTGTTGCAAGGAATACGTCCCACAACCCATTTCTGCTTTTAGGTCATTGCATTGAGATGTTGGCCCCTTGCAGCCCAGCCATCCTAGGTGTTTAAATCATTTTAGTTGCTTTAGTGGTAAGTTTAAAAAAAAAAAAAAAAAAAAAAAAAAACAAGTTCGCAGGGGATCTGAAAAAAAAACGGTCACAGGTAGCAATTAGTTTTGTTTTCTGGCTTCAAAGTATATATGTCCCACAAACCCCATTTTCTGTTTTTAGGCCCACGAACCTCATGTTCCTTATATATATATATATATCCCCTTCCCCAGTTTCTGTATATATCCCACCCGCCCCCCCCGCCCCCCCATGTTCCGTTTTCAGGCCCTGCCTTGACCTCGCCCCTTCTGATTCCGGATTCCAACCTCACCCCCTCCCCCCCCTTCCATTTTTTGCGGGCCCAGGCCCCATTTTCTGCTTGGACCTCGCTGGATTCCGCTACCTCGGTGTGGTTCTTCTTTCGTACCCTTCCTCCAACTCACGTGGCCCGTTCGGAGGTACCTGGAAGATGAATCTCCTTGTGAACGGAGACTGCTGGAAGACAGTATTCGTTCAGGGTCCTTAGTGTGTCGTTTCTCGAAAAAGTTGTTTATGTGTATGAGAAATGTTTTTGCAGAATCTGTTGAAGACAAATCATGCGGGCATCTCGGAGCGGTTCCTTCGGCTATTTCCGAGGTCACCCGCCAGGTGGGGGACCAGACCTGGCTGCTGGCCAGCCCCATCCACGCGCCCAGCGGCTCCCAGATCTCCCGCTTCGCGGCCATCCTGGCGCCTTTGGAGGCGATGAGCCACACGCTCTTCTGGACCAAGGAGGACCGGAAAAAATCCCACCGCAGCTTGGTTTTGCGCAGTGGACGCCAAGAAAGGAAAAATGAAAAACACAGAGAAAAAAACAAACCAACCAAAAAGTGAGGTTTGTCCTAAACAAAAAGGAAACACACGGCCTCAGTTGCTGTTATGTATGTGTGTGTGTGTGTGTTTGTTTTTGTGCGAAAATCCAACCTGAGGTTGGTTGGCCCAGGGGACACAAAAAAAATAAGAAAAAAAACACGGAAACACGGCCTCAGTTGTTGATTCTTGCTCAGTGGATTTCCGGAAACCTTTTTTTTGGGACGTTTCCGACCTCAGGTTGGTGTTTTCTCAGTGGATTTCTGGAAGCCCATGTGGTTCTTTGGTTTAGATTTTTTTTGTTCGACCTCCCCGGTTGCCCCCAGTTGATGCCGGAAAGCGTTTGTTTTGTTTTCAGAAATGACAACATGTGCTAACTTTTAGTGGGCAAAGTTCGGAAACCCAACCACTCAAAAAACTAAAAGGATCTAAAAAATACTAAGGGACCGGATGGCCTTCAGGAGCCACCAACTCTGCAATGAAACTTCTCAAGCACAAAAGGGTTTCCGGAAATCCTCTGGGAAAAAACAACCGAAGTCAAAGTTTTAGCAGGGGACCTGACTGAGGACAGGCCCAGAAAAATGAGAATTTTACCACCTCGTTTGCCCCAGAGGATGCCGGAAGCCGTTTTTTTGTTTCGAGCTTGTTTTTGTGAAGGGGTGCTCCTTTAAACTTCAGCCAGCAAAACAGAATGCCCTATTGTCCCATGGCTCGGCAACCGAGCCTCAGTCAACTGTCTGAGCAAAGACCAGCAACCAAACCTTGGTGGCTCTCAGCCATCCGGTTCCTTAGCCTTTTAGCTTTGTAGTGTTTAGTGGGAATCTCCATTCAACCCACTAAAAGTTAAACTTTTAGCGGGGGATCTGAGGACAGCCCAGAAACCTTCGAGCCTCGAGGGCTGGTTTTGCCTAGGGCTCCAACAGTTTCGTGGTGAAATCTTTGCCAACAGTCTCGAAACACCGGGGGTAGATGGTTCCCAGAATCGGCAATGTTCAATCATATGGGATTTCGGGTTGTGTAATCTAGCGGATGCTTACGGAATCCCATGTTTTTGGTGACACGCACTCCTGGGATTCCCATGCTTCCTCTTGTTTCTACTGTCGTGACGTCTCGCAGATCACTGGAGAGAGCCGAGGGGGGGGGGGGAGGATTAGCATGCTTAGCACTTCTGATGTTGCCGGCTCCGAACAGTCTCCATGAACTGCCATGCTGACTCCGTCGCGCTTGCCCTGTCTTACGTTCTACTTCATCGTCTAGTCGGTCTTGGCCCTCCGGACAGCTGTCCTTTGCTTCGTCTCCTTTGGACTGGCGATTCCCGAGGTATCTAGACGCCCACATCGATATCTTCACCCGTTCAGACTCTGATCATATCACTGCCTTTGTTCGTGTCACTGCTTTAATATCTGACTGGGGCCCCATCAACTTTGAGGGGGTGGCTGCAAAGCTTCCTGAACTGCACGGCGCGTGGCTGCGACACCTTGCACACCTCTCTCTGTGCCTCTTTCGCACGTCTGCGAAGCTGCTTTTCTTCTTTCAGCCCGTGTTCTTCACATTGGATGCATATGAAAGCTTTCTTCCCAAGGCAGAAGGGTCATGTTGCCGGTGTGAGCTTTCGGCTTTGGGATCGAGCTCGTCTCTGTACAGGATGCCGTGGGTGCCTTGGCCAAGATCACAAAGAAAGATCGCAGCACATAAGTTCGCTTGTCAGGGTTCTGTTTCGAGCCATGGTTTCCCTTAAACACCTGCAAATATGCCGTGTTTATCACTCATTCACGAAGAGGCCCGCGAGATGGGAGTGGGGATCCTGAAAAGCGGTGTTGCCATGGTTTCGTTCCAGTTTGAAGGCTTCGTCAAAACCAGCAATATTTCAAGGCAAAGTCAAGGTAGGCAACTTGAGCACTCGTTTCGAGGCATCCACTTGAATAATTAGCTGAACCAACGTCCCCAAAATCATTTTTTGCAAAGTAAAGGGAGCCAGATTGGACATCCAGTTGAAAAGTTTTCCAAGCTGTTCTACGGCAGGGGCATCTCCATATTTCAAGGGACCGCAAAAGCAATACGAAACCAGTTGACAATTCGAGATCGGCGGTCCCCAGGAGTTCTTGAATTTCTCTGCGGCACCAACATTCTGCGAACCCAGTTGAACACTTTTTGTAGCAACCAGACCCTGAGCCTACAATGGAGCACGGGATTTGAACTTGGATTTCTTCAGCCTTCTAGGGGTCCCCATTTTTTCCAGGGATCCTTCTTTGTAGGAAACCATCATTTAAAAAAAACACGGGGGAAACGGATCCGAATTTTTGAACCCCTGGAAACCTGGCGCCCCTGGCCTACCCGAAAAAACTGCCCTCTTTCCTTGACAGCTACTGGTCAACGGATCTGTAGACATCTTTAGACTTCAACTTTTTGGTTGCAATCAAGTGGTGTTTTCTACTAAGCCCCCCGAACTTTGTGCAGGGGGGTCGTTGCGGCAACCAAGTTTCTTCCAGCCAAAAAAAAAGGCCGGCGGCGAATTTGCCAGGACGGGCGGGAGGTGGTGCTGGTGGAACTGCCCCGCGTGCAGCTCCGTTTCAAGCCCGGGAAGGACCCCGCGAACCGCGGCCTGCGGCTCTTCTCCAAGGAGTTCGGAGGCGCGTTGCGCGAAACGAGCGAGCCGCGGGTGGTTACCCCCTGGTTTGGTGGTTCTAAAGGGACACTTAAAGGGCCCGAACAGTTTTATTGTTTTTGTTTTTTTTTTTAAAGAGAACTTTTGCTTTGGTGGTCTTGTTTTGGGGGGACCCACTAAAATGGGCGGTGTTCCTTTTGGTTTCCCTTCAAATACCCCTGTTTGGGTGGCAAGGAAACCCAAAGGGGTGCCCCTCAGGGGTGTCGCGCCTGAGGGTTGTTTAATCCGCATGGGTTGTTGTTTTTTTTGGGGCCCCCAGTTTTTGAGAAGACCCAGGAAAGCGTTTGTTCAGTAGTATTAATGTGCTGACTTGCTCTGATGATCCTCGGTGAAGTTGCTGCATCAGTGAAGCACAACCCGTGGGTAGAGGTCGTTATCCCCTCCCCCCCCGCGCCGACAGCGCAGAGCAACAACAAGCAACCGCAAACATCAGCAAACAGCAACGAACAACAAGCAAGGAAACAACAATAAACCAACCACACAAGCAACCAACCAAACAACAAAAAGACAGACAACAAGCAAAAACAGAACAACAACAGCAGCAACAACAGCAGCAACAGCAACAAGAACCACATGATCATCATCAACATCATCATCAACTAAAACACCAACACGACCACCACCAGCTAACCACCGCCGCCACCACCACCACCACCGCCACCGCCACCGACCACCCCCGCCGCCTCCACCACCACCACCACCACCACCGCCAAAGAACAAGAGCAAGAACAAGAGCAAGAACAACAAGAAGAACAACAAGAATAACAACAAGAACAGCAGCAGCAGCAAGAGTAACAGTAGCATATGAGCGGCGTCCAAAACCTCCGTGTACATGTTTAGTAAGAGTCATGTCATATCGACCAGAGGTGGCGTAAGCTGGTGGCGTAAGCAAAACTCTACACGCGTAAGGTTGCGTAAGCTGGTGGCGTAAGCATAATGTTACGACATAGCAAATCATGACACGTTTAGGACATGGCTCGTATGGGTTTCAACGTGCTTGAACAAGTTTTAACAACAGGCCTGCCCAAACGCATGATGTTTGTTTTGTGTGTGTGGGGGACATCCTACTCTTCCGCAAGCAACCAGCAGGAACCCGGCCTATAACCATTTCTGCAGGATCCATGACATGCCAAAGAGCCTGCCAAGCCCTTCCTGCGCTTTCCTATTTGTTGTCGGGTGTCAGTGTAAGGAGGGGCGGTTTGCTGTCACATATATTCAATTTTGTGGGCCATTCAGCTACCTACAGCTCAAATGCATTTAAATGCGGCGAGTGTTTCAGATTTGTGATGTGAACATGGTCATTAGCCATGTTTGATGGCGTTGTTTGGCTGTCCTTCCTGTTGAACTGGTGGGGTCCATAGACAGCGCATGTTGCAGCCGGGAAGGTTTTTACCTGCTCAACCGAGACGGTGTTCACGACCCAGAGGCGGGTGATGCATTTGCGTGGTTTTGCAGGAACAACAACCTTGTTTCCGAAATAGCCATGTGTCCCTGACAGGGGGATGAAATTCTACTCGTTGTTCTTTTGGTTTGCCACACATAGTCCAGTCTATAACTCATGTCTGTGAAGGGTCGGGCGCCCAACTGAGTTTGCATGGCTCCGCCCTAATTTGGAGCAAGGACGCTTATTGTTTCGCACCTTGGAAACAGGGTGGCTTTGGGGATGTGGCATGGTTGTTATGCGCTAGATGATCTCACTCATCTTCACTTTAGCCAAAATCGGCCTTCTAACGAGCCCCCAATCAAATGTGGAACCCATTTCTTTTATGTTTAAAGGTTGATCCGTCTGCATATGCTCGAACCAGACGTGAACGATTGAGCCACCGACATTATCCCACATCGGGCATTCACGGTGGGACAAGTTCCGTCCCAGCGCATGCGATTCGTGTTTTTGTTCAGCTTGGCCAGCTTTGCACACAGTTGTGCAGCTGTGCAAGGTGTGCACAGTATCAAGTGATTGGCCATGATGCTGCATCTTCCAGGGCCACGCAATGATGTGCCTGTCATTTGAACTACTCCGTGTGTTACCCCAAGCCAACAGTTAGTCTCATTGGTAATTTGTTTTGGAAACCTTTGGCATTGCAGAACGCTGAACATGTGTGATGCCGCCTGAAATCAACATGAATCCACAGCAGGAAGTGCTTAAGAAGGTCGTTCCTTCGTATATGCTGCGAGTGCCTCTTGATCTTCTTGAGCCCATTGCTATTTCTACTGACCCAACTTCAACAATCGTGGAAGCTGACAGAACGGTTTTGAGTCATGTTGAAAAGGCCTCTTGTTCACTTCCATGATGGTTGGAAAAAACATATATATATATATATACATATAGTTTCTGACTGAACTCTGGGCGCGCAGTGGCAGTTGAATGGGATTCCTTGCATGCGGCAACGGAACACGTGGCCGCCCTGCGCAACTTCCGGCTGACGGAGCATGTTTGATCTTGTTGATAGCTTTGTCTCCTTGGTATATAATTCTTGGAGAGTCCTTTTTTTCCGGATAGCTCATAGCTACTCATGAAGCATCTGTTGTTGGCGATCATTGTTTGAGGTCGTGTTTTTGCGCAGATTTTGCCCTGTAACCCAAGGAAATCCCTATCCCAAAAGCAGATTGGCCGGATTTGTGATATAGTGGTTCCATGTTCTGTGCTGATGAACAAAAGCCAAATTGCTTTGTCCACCCACACTGTGAATGCCACGAGTTCGCACCATCGTTCAGAAACCCCAGAATGATGAAATTCCCCTGTAAATACCAACCAACATTATGGTTTTTGTGATGGTTTCAGTTCGTGGTGCGAAATGAGTTAGTTTCTCTGCACCAGTATGGGTGTGTCTTTTTTAAGGGGACCCACAAAATGGCACCGGTTCTCCTGTTGGTGTCCCTTTTAATCAATAAAAAGGCAGGGGCATGGAGTAGCGCGATGTTACTCTGACAACGGACGCCCTATCCGGACCAAAGTTGGGCTGGTGCAAATCCCCCCTTTCGTAGCACCGGGACTGCTCAAGCCGTCCCGCGGAGACCACAACACGTCCTGCTAACCAATGGAGGTTCCCTAAGGAGCCCTAAGGAATCCTTGATAATCTTGAGGAAGCGTAGGGCTCTCACCTACCCCCCGTAACCTACCTACCTGATTCCATAAAACTCCAGGTCCGCTCATGTGGCTGGTCACAAATGCGTACGAATGGAAGCCTGGTTTTTCTCGAAATGGAACCGTAGACTACAACCTGCGGTCCCAGGCGCCTGGTCATTTCATTTTGGATCCCATTAGCTTTGCATTGGTTTTACCGCTGCCACAAATCCAGAAACTTCCAGGGCCGCAAGCTCATGTAGTTTTACAGCCTCATGCCACAAATCCAGCACGGCCGCGAGAACGGCGAGAGCTTCCGGCTTCCTTCCCGTCGGCGGCTTCCGGTCGGCTTTGAGGCCTGGCAAGATGCCACCGGGGACTCCAGAGCCGCGGATCTCGCCGCTCGGAGAACGGGGTTTTGGTCGGCGAAGGTTATTTTTTTTCTCGGGGAACTCCTTTGGGTTGGTGGGGAAAGGGACACCAGAGGTTTTCCCTCCAGTTTTTTTTCCAGGAGGTGTGTGTTTGGTGGTGTTAAAGGGAAACCCCCCAAAAAAAACACCCAGCGGGAGGTGTTTCTTGGTGGTTTTACAGGGAAACCAGAGGGAAAGCCTCCTGTTTTTTCCAGGGGAAGGTGGTTGGGTGGTGCTAAAGGGAAACCAAAGGGACAACCACGCAAGATGGGGGGTTGGTGCCCTATTCTAAGACTCAGCCACTTGGCCGCCGGCTGTCGACGCAACTTAGACCCTTTCCAACAATGCTGGAATCTGACAGGACAGAAGACGTCAGGAAGCCCCTGTCCTTTTTCGTGATTGTTGCAAAGAAGGTACCCCGCAGATTACATTGGCGCTCCGCCAATCCATGCTTATTGGCGACCCTGATTAGGGGAACCTACCAATTTTGGGGTTGGCCTGAACCGCACTCCAAGGGGAACACCACAAACAAATTCGGGGGGTGCCCTATTCGAAGACACATCCAGGTTACATTGGCGCCCCGCCAGTCCATGTTTAGTGTGTAAGAGGGCCTATTGTCAAAGTTGGACCAACCGACCCTTGGCGGCTGCAAGGGGCAACAGCCCAAGCAAAGCAAGGGATCACCAGAGGAAAGCGGACAGGACCTGAGTCAGACGACTCAGAGTTTGTTTGACAGGGCTCCCGAAAAGATACATCTTGCCCATTTGAAACATGTTTGTTTTTTCCACCAAAATAAAGGGAAAACATAATTTTCAAGGCAAGGTTCAGGTGTATACCGTAAGGATCCCTGTTTGATTCTGCGGGAGAGTAGAAGATCAACTCAAACTCTGCCAGCTGTAGAGCATCGGCAAACACCCGAAGGATTGACATTTACATAATTTGAAGTCTGACCTAGTGGGGAAATCGGGGCCACTAGCTAGGGGGCAACGTTAACGAGCAGAAGGATCCTCGATGTTGCAACTTATGTTTTCTGGGTGCTCCTCATCTAACCTCGATAGTTTGTCATGCAGCATAGGAGTCTGAACGGAGATCTGTTTATGCATTGACAGTATGTTATCACGGTGTTGCTTGCAATACTAGGTGGTTCAGTGGTTTATTGAATAAGTGTAGTTTGTTGGCGTTTGAAGGACCTTGTGTATGGTTGCAAGTTGAACTCGTGGCTCGGAAGATAGGAGCTATGGACAAGGCTCTTGCGGCAGAAAGTGCACTTCTTCGCAAACATGCAGCGAGTTTGTCTGGAGCAGAAAAGCAGAACATCGCCTTGTTGAAGTGCAGCTGCTGATGGCAGTCAAACGGTGGAAGTCTGGAGCCTTTGACAGGCGCTCATTTTATTTCCAGGTGAGCTGGGCAAAGGCTGGACAAAAAGGGCATTGGGCTTATGATCTTGCGCAGGATGAATACAACCCATTGCAGACGCAATGTATCCGCAGTTCCAAAATATGATAACGATCCCCCTTTTTTGGGCCGCTTGGGTTCCAGCCGCGATCGAAGCATGCTGCCCTTGAACCGCCTCCCCCCCCCCCCGGTTTTGTTAATAGAAACCAGCAGACAGACACACACACACACATACACATTTAGAAGCGGTAGAAAGCCGATGTTAGAACAGCTTGGAAGCAGTTGGGCCCGGCGGAACCCCCTTCTTGTCGTGCCATTTGCCATCCGCACAAGTTGTTTCGTCTAAAGCAACACACCCCCTAGAATCGTTTTTAAGAACCATGCCGGCCCCGTTTCACTGTAGCCTCCTGCAACATCCTCAAAAGTAGTCCAAATGCTGGTTTCAAGGGAACATCCCCCCCGAACGTATTTTTCAGCACCCCTCACGCAGGCCCCAGTTTGCTTCCCGCGCGCTGAGGCCAATTTCCTGGCGAAGATGCCGCACGCCGTGGTTCTGCGGAGCACCGCAGGGGCCATTCGCATCCTCGTGACCAATGCAGAGGTCACGAGGCCAGCAACTGAAGGGAATCCATGTGGGGCTTTGCATCGGTCCCGTGCTTAGGGATTCTGCATGGATTCTGCTTACCTGGAGCATTTGGTTTTGCGTAGCCAAAGGAGCCGCAATGTTGAAGCTTGTCGCGAGTCACAAGGGAGGCTCATTTGAAGGGGCCTATCCCCTCACGAAAGCGATGGGGGCAGTCCACAGAGCCCAGTACTCCCAGGTCCCCCAGTAGTGCCCTTTAACCCTTTTTTTGGGGAGGGTTCCCCTACTAAAATAGACTACAGAAAAAAAGGTACCCTTACTCTCACCTCTCTACTGCAGGACCTAGACTCACTTCCCCATGTTCCCTTCGCCAAGCCATGGCGCGAAACAACAAGGCTGATGTAGCTTCATCCATAGGGGGTTGATCAATATTGGGTGAAAGGCCCCAAAATGACCAGTGGTAACTTTTTCCCATGTAGTGGTGAAAGGGTGAAAGTCATCCTTTTGGGTGGTTTCCCCAATGGTCATCCCACGTAAAGGACCTTTTGATCAACCTGCATTGGGACATTCATCAGCTCGGGAAGGTACTGCCAACGCATGCGGTCTAGCCAGCCTGACTTGTTTTTCTGATCGTGTGAAACAACGAAATGAGCAGATTGTAGAGAGTTTGTGACCTGCGATGTTGTTCTGGTTTGCCGAATGTGGAGTCCGCTGCACACCCGACCAGCGTGTATGCTTATGACCAACTGTGCAGGACAAGGTCAGGACTTTCGAGTGACCCCGCGTGAAACACATTGACATTCATTCGATTCTAACAACGAAATTGCATGAACAGGAACTTCATCTCTGTTCACGACAAAAGTGATTGATCGCGCTCCTCAGTGTTGTCATATTGCTGCTTCTTGTTATTCTTGGTTTATGGCTCTAGCTCCTTGATGTTATCCTGCGTAGAATTTGTTGGCCGCAACTCCGCACCCTGGTGGGCAAAGCTTCAAGGCAAACGTCCCAGAGACGAACAATTAATCGGGCTTCCCGTTTAGCAAGGACCCTGTTTTGCTACAGTGACAAATGAGGAGCTCCAATCCAAACATAGAGTGTGCATTTTCAACGAGCCCAGTTGGCGTGTGCGGAAAGGCCAGCGATCAAGGTCAAGCCCTTCTCAACCGCGACTTGGTTGGTCAAAGCAGATGGCTCGCCTTCGAACTCGCCCGAGTGAACGATATTATTTGATGAAGCCAGCGGGGTCATGCGAGAATGCAAAATTAAACCACCAGAAATTGGACCGCAGGTTTTAGTCCATGTTTTCATTTACCATGCACGCCAGTTTGGGTACCAACTTTTGACCCCGATGTGTCCATCAGACCTCATGAAAGTCTTTTTCCAAGGCGATACTTAAAGGGGCGATCGATTCGGTACGTCAGGTAAGTGGTTAGGAAGCCTGGTTATAACCCACTTGGGACGATTATAACCATGGTAAGTGGCTAGGTCCCCCAGTAGTGCCCTTTTACAGCTTTTTTGGGGGGAAGGTTCCCCTACTAAAATAGACTACAGAAAAACAATTAGGTACTCTTATTCTAAGCTCTCTACTGGTTTGGACCTCGGTGGATTATTTCACCAGGCCTACAAACCACTTACTAAGTACCCGATCACCCGACCACGCCTTTAAGTCCAGAAGCTCTTTCACGGCCCGCACGCGCACATACAAACATGCACAGAGAGCCTCCTCCGCACGCACGCACGCCAAAGTGAGGGCAGGCTCACGGACTCTTTGGTTCCGACCACACACTAGCCTTGTTTTACATGCCTTGCCGCTCAGATCGACGCCTACTAATTTTGGTGGTGTCTCTTGTGAGACACTCACTTCCTGAGTTCATGGGCCTTATTTCTTTGGGGGGAAGAGCATATTGTGGTAAACACAAGGCTTGGACTTTTTTGTCCCATCCTCCTTTGGAAGCTTCCCCTATTTGTTCAGTGTCACCATGTTTTACCGTTTTTGGTGGGTTCCCCAATGCAAATGGGAGGGTTTCCTTTTTCCACCGGGGTCGCTGGACAACTGGGCTCCTGGTCTACCTTCCAAACTCGGAAATGTGAGGTCCTACACGCTCGAAAAATATATATATATATATATAGTATATATATATATATATGTATTTGTAAGGTTCCAACCTCCGATGCAATTGTCCACATGCCCACCCATTGAGTCTGTGTTTCAACGAGTCATGCGCTGACTTGCAGCACGCATTTCTTCGGTGGGGTGTTCAAAACGGGCGGGGATTTTTTCACCGCCCCGCCCCACAGCCTTGATGGCACGGACCGAACGCGGAACGGCCGGACCTGCAAATTCCCTTCCGCGTGCCTCCTGCCGAAGGTCTGGGTGGCCCTTCCAGGCCCAGGCAGTGGTCCTTCTCAGGCCGCCTGAGGCGCAACCTCCGCGGTAGCCACGCGCGCCGTGGTATAAAGCTTTAAGGCTCCCAGGAGTGTTTGAAGCCCTGGTTGGCGACAAAAAATCGGCAGCGCTCGGTGGCTCGATGCGCCGATATATTTTTCTCTTCGATGACTGTCCCATGGCTCTGTCAGCTTCTTCGCGCATCCAGGCAGCGTCTGAAGGGCTTGCTTCAACGTGCTCGACACCATCGCACTCTGAAGAGGGGTCGGATCTGAGAAGGGGTCCAGGCTGAGCATGCTCACTGCAAGACGCCAAAGCCCCCCAATTTCTCTGCACATTGCTGTCGCCCCAAGAATGCTCTGGAATCCGCACGAGTCTCCGAGAAAGCACACGCATACTGCTGAGAATTTCAGGCTTGTTCCGCTATATATTGAGCAGCAATGTCGCCACGTTTGCGCAAGTGTAGGTACATGCTTTGCAAGTTGTGCAGCCGGCAGCCAGTCAAAAATTTCTCTCTCCTGAATCAAGCATGTCGTGAGCACGAAAAGCTCAATGTCCGTGTCACACAAGGTGTTCACGTATGCATCCAAAGCTATCTATGTTGTACTACAACAACATGTACACTCAACATAGGTTTTGCTCTTGAACCAGACGCAAGCACGGCACGTGTTGTGTGCCGGGGCAAACCCCGCCTGTAGAGCCTGTTGTTGGTGTTAAAGTGATTCGCCTCACCTCGGATATGTTGAAAGCAAACCAGCTTTGGAGATATTTTCCGGGATTAATGTTTGCTATTGCTACAACAACTACTGCAAGTTTGGGTCTTTTTTTCCCACATTGTGAAATTTGACAATGTATCCTGATAGCATGACAGCATGATGCTATGCCATGTTTATCAAGCTTCTATTGAAGGACAGTTGGACAGTGAAGAGGAGGGTCATCATTCCACCCTGCAATCGGATGGGCGTACGTTGAGTTCAGAACTGGTATTTCCCCAGACCATGTCATCCTTACCCTTGTTGGTTTTGAAGGGAACCAGCGGGAAGCCAACCATTTTTGGGGGGACCCTGCAAAGGAGACCCACGGCTTCATGTGGATGTGGCTCAAAATTAAACGATCGGAGGGGCAAACCGCAGGTTTTGGTCCATGTTTCCACTTCCCGATCGGGCAACCCATTTTGGGAATTCCTTTGTTTTTTGAGCCACAGCCACATAATGGCCATGAGTCAAAATCCAAATCCCGTGCCAGTGAACAACCAATTTTTCGGAGCTGAGGAGCTGGTGGTGAACCGGCGCAAGCTGGTGATCCAGGGCCTGAAGACCTTCCTCTGGGACTTCCACGAGTCGGGGGCGCTGCTGCTGACCTCCTCCCTCAGTGGCACTCTGTACCTGAGCCTTCTGAGCCTCGGAATTTTTTGAGGGGCCAAATGCGATCGCCGTGCTCGGCATTTTTTTTCCAACAATAATTATGATTATGATTATATATATATATATATGTTTTGGTTTCTCGTGTTGGCTTTAAAAGGAAATTATTACTCCAGGACATGTTCTTTTCCAGTGGACTCAAGCAAATGGAAGTGCTTCTTGCTCGCAGAGGTTTGGGGAATGAAGAGGGTGGCATCTTGCTCCGACTCGCAGAAGTATACGCCTTGGGTCTGCGAGGGAAGGCAGTCGTCGCGCTTTTTCCGTGAGACAGGCGCGGTGGGAACCAAGCAATCGGCAGACTGTGGCGACATATTTTTTATTTGACTACTGCAGACAGTGGCGAAAAATATTTTTTAGTTGACAACTGACTGTGGCGACATATTTTACTCGCAGAGTTGCACTGCGACAACAGAAGCTTGACCGATAGAGCACTGAGACGGGATGTTCGTCTTGCTCGTGCAGTGACCCTCTCGCGAAGCCACGCAGCCAAACGCCAATTCGACCTGGGCAACTCACATACCGGCCGCTGGTGGGGTCTATGTGTTCAAAAAACCAGGAGATCATGTTGAATAGCATGCTGTTTGCTCATCCAACCTCTTTGCCCCCAGGGCAAATGTAAACCCTCTTTGCCAGCGCCAACAAAATCATCACTTTTCTCCTGCTTCCATTGTGGTTGCATGTTGAGGGCTCTTCATGTTGTAAGCAGGTTGGTGCCCTACGGTGCCCTTTAAATCATGGGGGTCTGGGGGCGAGGGGAGGGGGAGGAAGCCCAAATCTGCTCTTTTTCTTGAGCTCAAGGCTCCCTCCCACCTCCATCCCTCTTGCTACCCTTTGTGGCTCTTTGGTAACGGATCTTCCAGTGAGACACTTTTTGAGGGGTCGTTACAGCAACCAAGCGTAGGGTCAAGCACCCCGTCCATGCAGTATGTTCCCCCTTTTTTTGCCCAGTACCATGGAGCCGAGTTCCTTCCATTTGCTGAAATTAATTTCCCCAGTTGGTTTTGAAGTTGGAATCGATTTCTTCTAATTTCTGGACATATTTTCCTCATTTTTTCCATTGGTCTCTTTTGCAATTGGAAGGTTCCGAGTCCCGTCCATGGCCTTTTTTGCCCGGTACCATGGAGCCGAGTTCCGAGTTCTGATCGGAGCGCTTCAGGACCTTGCTGCACAGAGACTACACCGCCACCTCGCGGCTCCTGGGATCTGTAGGCTTCGACGAGGGCTCCTCGGCGCGTTAGGTCGAGGATCGAAGCCGGAGGGAGCAGTGGTTGGGTTGGTGGGTTTAGGGGAACCAACCCACTTTTGGGTTGGTTTGAAAGGCAATTCAAAGAGAAAAAACAAACCTTTCTTGTACACCTAGGTGTCCTTTTGCAAGGTTAGTTTGGTTAGAAATCGATGGGTTCCACTGGCTTAGATTGGTTCTAGAAACCATGTACCAGGGAAACCCATCTGCTTCATCCGAAAGGTCACCTATTGTTGAAAGGGAACCCACAGGAAACAAACTCGTATGGGGAAGCTATTTGTTTGACACACTTTGAAGGCACAAATCCATCTTGGATATTTGTTCCGGCCGAATCCTCTATAATTTATTTGAAGGCAACTGACTAGAAGAATTGAGATCCGTTACTCGAGTTTTGAGAGTCATTGCCAGCGCGATTCCAACAATATTGTCGAAATGAAGTATTCGCAATGGACAGAGGATTATAGAATTATTCTAGGGAGTTGTCGGTACAATCTCTTTCTGGCATTTAGCACATTCCGCCAGAATGCCAGAATGAACAAGCTTGCTGGTGCTGGTGCTCAGCAGGGAATGAGGGAATGAACCTAGGGATTTCCTCAAACGAAACCATAGGGGATGGTTTATAGGGGTCATCCCTCATTGCCTGAGCACCAGCAAGCAAGTAAAAGGTTGTGTTCTCCAGTGACCAGAGCAGCCTCTTTGCAAGTTGCGTGCAAACGAGAGGCGGAAGTAAAGCAACCAACTGGCTGCCGGACAACCTCCCACGTGCTTTTCTTGCTCGTCGGCATGTTGTGCAGAATCTATTTGTGGTGCCATCACGTTTTGTTTGCATGGTTTGGTCGGATTCATTTGTGTTCGACGGAAAGCCCGAACGGAGTCATATGGGGGCCGTCCGTAATTGCATGTCTAAAACTTATGAAAAGCAGCAACTTGTTGAACCGCGCGATTGGGAGAACTCGAGCCGCGAAAGGCCGGCGATTGGACCGCGAAAGGGCAACGAAATTATTATGAATTCTGACGCTGCGTGGTGTTTAGATTGTGGTGCCGACGCACGTCTCGTTCATTTTGACTGCACGGGCTCGCACAAAAGCTCCTCCTGGAAAGCTGAATGTTGATTTTGCCCGCGCAGGCCGAAGCTGTGCTGTCTAAATCTGCTTACTGGCAAAGGCTGGAAGCTGCAAGCCGAAGTTTCGCCGACGAATTCCACGATTGGGCCGCCGTCGGACGGCGATTGGACGAGTTTCACCAGTGAGGCCCTGCCCACTCGAGCTACGTCACTTCCTTCCAGTTTCCAGGTATGGATGGAGGCAGGCCAGCGCTTGAGATAGGACGGCGAAAACCGAAACAGAAACAGCGGCGATGACCAACGCGGCTCCGCGATTGGAATCTGTGGGATCGCGGTTAGATCGCGATTGGCCGGCGATTGCGGGGTCCCCAGGCAAAGTAATTTTGTACAACCCCCATATGTGTGAACTGGTTGGAGGCGAGAAGCGGACGGCCTGCATACAGTTCCTCTGTAGCCAAAGTGTGTTGTTGTTTGTTTTATTATTCCTATGACTATGCTGGTTATTATTCATGAGTATGGTTAAGTATTTTTGTATATCTATATATACTCATGTTATCATAATATTATTCTTCACTATCAGTACTAATAGTATAGTTTTTTCTCAGGGCCTTAAAATCAGATCTCAAGGCATCTCCACCGACGAGCTACGGCTGTTGATGATGAACATCTTCAACACAATGGCGGCTGCTTGGCGGATCATCGGGTCAACATTACGGCCAAGCAATGTGAAACCCAGCCGCAGCTATTGAGGATCGACACCCAGACGCCTCAGCGCTGCGCTTGAAGCTGATCTTGGCGCTCATCGCCCACAACCCCAAGCACCCGCTGCTGAATCCGGCCCCTTAGCTCAAGTCACGTAGCATGGAACGGAATGGATGAACAGGGATGCGACCTAGACCCAGTTTGCCCAGTGGATTCCGCCCTTGTCTCAACTTTTGTTTGGAAGAATCCCTTTGAACTCAACAAACCAAAAAAGGATGCCTCTTTTCCCATAGAAATCCACTGGGCACGGGTCAACACGGACCTAGAGGAAATGTGGCCCAGGAGCAGCTGTTCTGTTCTGCACTGCCATCTCCTTCGCAGACATTTGGTGGAACGTCTTAAATGACTTGCACAGACTGCAAGCGTGCAAGGCGACCAACATGAACCCATGTCGGAACCAAGCGCCTTTTGGATAAGCTACGCTTGACACACATTCAATGAAGCATAATGACTCAGGTCTTGATCTGCTTTCTGTTTCAGTCCTTCCCATAGCCACTTGCTAAGTGCCTTTTGGTCCAATGGCTTTTACAGCGCAACGTGGCGAGCCTTAGAGGGAGAGAGTGCCGCTCTCACTGCCTCTTATGAAGCTTGCTGTGTTGGTGGGCAGTGACACCCTGCATATTAGTTTGAGGAGGGACATGGACTAGGTCGGACTAGGTCCCCCAGTAGTGCCCTTTCTCACCCCTTGTTTGGTTGGGAGGGTTCCCCTACTCAAATAGACTACAGAAAAAAATCGGGTACCCTTATTCTAAGCTCTCTACTGGAGGACTTAGTGGATGTGCTTAAGATCATCTGCAAGAATGACAATCCAGTGGTGCATCGGGAGTGATCCGGTTGCGTCATACTACGTGTTGGACATCAACCAGAGTCAAACAGTTTGACGAGGTCACACCTCCTTGGCTGTCGAGTTCCCTGGTTTCGTCGAGACACAACAACTTCCCGTGGACGAGTGCTGCCTGTTCGCTGAACTTGTGAACCAGTGTTTTGTTCCTTCACGATGTTCATGCTCTAGACTCTAAATAGCTTGATTTGGGGTGTTCGGTTCTGCAGGCCAAGTGGGTGTTGAGTTGGGTGTCGAGTCAGCAAATAATGAGGATCGTCAACCTGTTTGTCGTGGGACCCATGACCCATGGCTTGATTTTGGACATGTGAACATGTGCTCAGCTGTACGAAGACGATCATGGATGGTCTAATCAAACAACACTATTATTTGGTTCTGTGGGGCAAGTGAGTGTAAAGTCTGCAAATCATGAGCTTCTTCGACTCGTTCATCATGGGAGGCAGCTGGGATTGCATGAGCCTCGAAATGGTGCTTCTACAACACTACCCGGAGAATAGATGGCACATTTACGACGTATATTTTTAAGTAGATGGCACGGGGTGATATAAAAATGCAAATTCACAGTTGGCACATATCTTCAATTATCCGGCGAATTGTGCCATCTACTGGCTCAAAAAATCAGGGAATATCCAGGGGGTCAAAAACATTGTGCCATCTACTTTGCTCGGAGTGAAGTGGGAGTGGAGTGGAGTGGCATGGAGACTGGAGAGTGGATCTATTAAGCAAACATGTCCGCCGACCTTTTTGGCTCTTCTGTGAGTGGATCGGAGTGAAGTGGGAGTGGAGTGGAGTGGAGTGGCATGGAGACTGGAGAGTGGATCTATTAAGCAAACATGTCCGCCGACCCCATTTGGCTCTTCTGTGAGTGGATCGGAGAAGTGGGTGGGAGTGGAGTGGCGTGGAAAGTGGAGAGTGGATGTATTAAGCAAACATGTCCGCCGACCCCATTGACTCTTCTGTGAGTGGATCGGAGTGGAGTGGAGTGGAGTGGAGTGGAGTGGAGTGGAGTGGAGTGGAGTGGAGTGGAGTGGAGTGGAGTGGAGTGGAGTGGAGTGGAGTGGAGTGGAGTGGAGTGGAGTGGAGTGGACGGAGTGGAGTGGAGTGGAGTGGAGTGGGGTGGAGGGTGTGGGACAGGAGGGGTCCTCTACATGGGTCTCCCGTTTCCGGGCCAGCCGGAGGAAGAGCTTTAATTAAACTGCAAACATCACGCATATGTGTTCGCACTTTTTTAAAGGCTCGTTTCATTTCAAACTTTTTGATTATGACTCACTCCATTTCCATTGTGACCATTCAGACCTACTGATGCATATTATCAGCCGACTTCAGCCGACCAAACACTTAGAAACGTTTGGAAAGGACAGTGGTGCCCAAAAGGAAGCTGCGGCTTTGAAGCATTAGTTGCGCGATTCCTGAGTATCGATAGCATTGCTAAAGCGAAGTCCGCATTACACATTGCTTGGGAACCGCCAACAGCTTGTCCTCCCCCAGGCTTCCTGGGACCCTGCAAGCTGCAACTGTGGCGAGGCTCTTCCCGATTGGCACCGAGCTGTGACAAGTTCACGGAGCACAAACGAAGCTCAACTCCCTGCAAGGCTGCCTTGCCAAATCAGCCCTCTGCTGCTGGTTGGACATCCCCCTGCCTGGAAAAATATCGTACTTACCTGGCTGAAACTGGTGTGGCTGGACCTCCCCGCTCTGGGGGCGGCCTTGTGGAGGCACTGCCCCTCCCACAAACGAAGCAAAGTAGATGGACATCCCCCTGCCTGGAAAAATATCGTACTTACCTGGCTGAAACTGGTGTGGCTGGACCTCCCCGCTTGGGGGCGGCCTTGTGGAGGCACTGCCCCTCCCACAAACGAAGCAAAGTAGATGGCACAATTCCACGCGTGGGCTTGCGAAGCAGCCCACGCGTCGATCTCGCCTTGGGTCCCGAAAAAGGCTGCACTTCCTTAACTCCCTGCAAGGCTGCCTTGCCAAATCAGCCCTCTGCTGGTTGGACATCCCCCCCTGCCTGGAAAAATATCGTACTTACCTAGCTGAAACTGGTGTGGCTGGACCTCCCCGCTGCCTGGGGGCGGCCTTGTGGAGGCACTGCCCCTCCCACAAACGAAGCAAAGTAGATGGCACAATTCCACGCATAAACTTGCGAAGCAGCCCAGGCGTCGATCTCGCCTTGGACGTCCCGAAAAAGGCTGCACTTCCTTAACTCCCTGCAAGGCTGCCTTGCCAAATCAGCCCTCTGCTTGCCTGGTTGGACATCCCCCTGCCTGGAAAAATATCGTACTTACCTGGCTGAAACTGGTGTGGCTGGACCTCCCCGCTGCCTGGGGGCGGCCTTGTGGAGGCACTGCCCCTCCCACAAACGAAGCAAAGTAGATGGCACAATTCCACGCGTGGGCTTGCGAAGCAGCCCAGGCGTCGATCTCGCCTTGGACGTCCCGAAAAAGGCTGCACTTCCTCAAACTCCCTGCAAGGCTGCCTTGCCAAATCAGCCCTCTTGCCTGGTTGGACATCCCCCCCACCACGGCCAAATCCTTTACTTACGCTTAACTGCTGTGGCTGGACCTCCCCGCTGCCTGGGGGCGGCCTTGTGGAGGCACTGCCCCTCCCACAAACGAAGCAAAGTAGATGGCACAATTCCACGCGTGGGCTTGCGAAGCAGCCCAGGCGTCGATCTCGCCTTGGACGTCCCGAAACAAGCTGCACTTCCTTAACTGGACGCCTGGGCTTGCAGGGAGTTAAGGAAGCGGGGACGTCCAAGCCGAGATCGACGCCTGGGCTGCTTCGCAAGCCCACGCGTGGAATTGTGCCATCTACTTTGCTTCGTTTGTGGGAGGGGCAGTGCCTCCACAAGGCCGCCCAGGCCAGGTCCAGCCACAGCCAGGTAAGTACGAGATTTTTCCAGGCAGGGGGATGTCCAACCAGGCAAGCAGAGGGCTGATTTGGCAAGGCAGCCTTGCAGGGAGTTAAGGAAGTGCAGCCTTTTTCGGGACGTCCAAGGCGAGATCGACGCCTGGGCTGCTTCGCAAGCCCATGCGTGGAATTGTGCCATCTACTTTGCTTCGTTTGTGGGAGGGGCAGTGCCTCCACAAGGCCGCCCCCAGGCAGCGGGGAGGTCCAGCCACACCAGTTTCAGCCAGGTAAGTACGATATTTTTCCAGGCAGGGGGATGTCCAACCAGGCAAGCAGAGGGCTGATTTGGCAAGGCAGCCTTGCAGGGAGTTAAGGAAGTGCAGCCTTTTTGGGGACGTCCAAGCCGAGATCGACGCCTGGGCTGCTTCGCGCCCATGCGTGGAATTGTGCCATCTACTTTGCTTCGTTTGTGGGAGGGGCAGTGCCTCCACAAGGCCGCCCCCAGGCAGCGGGGAGGTCCAGCCACACCAGTTTCAGCCAGGTAAGTACGATATTTTTCCAGGCATGTCCAACCAGGCAAGCAGAGGGCTTTGGCAAGGCAGCCTTCGTTTGCAACCTTTTTGGGACGGGGCACGCCTGCTGCTTCGCACATTGTGCCATCTACTTTGCTTCCTCCACAAGGCCGCCCCCAGGCAGCGGGGAGGTCCAGCCACACCAGTTTCAGCCAGGTAAGCACGAGATTTTTCCAGGCAGGGGGATGTCCAACCAGGCAAGCAGAGGCAAGGCAGCCTTGCAGGGAGTTAAGGAAGTGCAGCCTTTTTCGGGATGTCCAAGCCTGCCCCTCCCACAAACGAAGCAAAGTAGATGGCACAATTCCACGCATGGGGCGTCGATCTCGGCTTGGACGTCCCGAAAAAGGATGCACTTCCTTAATTTCTGCAAGGCTGCCTGCCAAATCAGCCCTCTGCTTGCCTGGTTGGACTTCCCCCTGCCTGGAAAAATCTCGTACTTACCTGGCAGAAACTGGTGTGGCTGGACCTCCCCGCTGCCTGGGGGCGGCCTTGTGGAGGCACTGCCACAAAAAGTAGATGGCGCAACTCCAAATGCAACAAACCGTGACTTGGCCACCGGAAGTGAAAGTAGATTGCACATTTTTTGTTTAACCGCCCGCCCTACACCCTATCTGTCACATCAGCTGGCGCTGACTCGGCATGAAACTGAAGTGAGTGAGTGAGTGAGTGAGTGAGTGAGTGAGTGAGTGAGTGAGTGAGTGAGTGAGTGAGTGAGTGAGTGAGTGAGTGAGTGAGTGAGTGAGTGCGGGAGGGAGGGAGGGAGTGACTGAGTGACTGACTGAGTGACTGACTGACTGACTGAGTGAGTGAGTGAGTGAGTGAGTGAGTGAGTGAGTGAGTGAGAGTGAGTGAGCGAGCGAGCGAGTGAGTGAGTGAGTGAGTGAGCCAGTGAGCGAGCGATAAATTATTCTTTGGGGGCTAAAAAATTGTGCCATCTATTTTGCATCCCGGTTGACCCCCAATTATCTGGCGCCGGCGCGCGGAGTGTAATTATCTAAGTTGAAGAAAAGTAGATGGCACAGACCATTTTTTTGAGCCATCTATTCTCCGGGTAGAGAAACCATTCTGTAAGTGTGAACAGCAAGACAACTTTGTGGGATCCGACCATGTTTGCAAAAAAACATCGAGAAATGGATGTCCCTAGGTGTTGAACAAGCCGAACACTCGCTTGCCAGTGGATGGACACAACGCAGAACCGGGCCTTTCTTCCTCCCCAGAATTCGCTCCCCCCTTTTTTTCTCCGTTTTTTGGGGTCCCTTGGTTTTCCACCAACCAGGCAAGTATATATATATATATACATATTTGTTTATTTATATATATATATATTTGCTGGGGTCCCAATTCCAGCCAAATCTTCAGGACGAGAAGCTGATCCAGTCCGAGTACGGGGACTACCTGCTGAAGCTGAGCCACGTGTCTCAGAGCTGCCGACTGCTGCTGCGGGAGGAAGGCGGCGGCAACACGAGCGAGTTGGGGGCATCCGGGTTCGCGGGAGTCCGGGCCCCCCCCAAGGGGCGTCATGTTGCCAAGCAAGTCACAGAATGTACAACAGGTGAGTGGGAGGCTGCTGAGGTCCCCCCAAGGTACTCCAGGTGATGAGTTGGCGGGTCCATTCAAGATGACCCACCAGATGAGCTTCCTTCAGGCAACTAAGCTACAGGCCTTCGAATGTTTACATACAGTGTCCAATGTCGCCATGTGCTGATCGTGAGCCACAGGGCACAACCAGAGGTGGAGACAGGCATCATGTGCGTCCATCTAGCAACAGCTCGTGTAGAAGAGGAAAGCACGGGCACGTGCTTGCACCTGCAAAAGAAGCAGAAGTAATTGTGTTTACAACCTTAAACACGCGCATATGCTTGATCTTAAACGAGTAGAAGTGCCTACCCATTGGCATGTGTGTGTGTGAGAGCGTTTGCAGACTTAACAACGAACAACCAAACGCTGGTGCCATTGAGATGCCAAGTGGAACCGACGGATGGTACTCCTATGCATTACAGTAAGCACCCTTGTTTGAGCACACCCTGGAAGGACATGCAGGTACACCAAACCGCTGAACATTGAATGAAATGCGAGAGAGTTAGATATTTTCTTGCAACCGACGCTTGTATGCTGTGTGTGTGTGTGCGCGCGTGTGTGCGTGCGTGCGTGTGTGCGTGCGTGTGTGCGTGCGTGTGTGCGTGTGTGCGTGTGTGCGTGTGTCCGTGTGTGCGTGTGTGCGTGTGTGCGTGTGTGCGTGCGCGCGTGTGCGCGTGTGTGCGTGTGCGTGTGCGTGTGCATGTGCGTGTGCGTGCGTGCGTGCGTGCGCTCATGCCGTTTATTTGTGCTATGGTATATATTGTGCCATGTCAATGATAGTGTAAGTATGACACACGACATGTGATGTTTTAGTTGTACATCTGAGCCAGCCGTTTCCTGTTGAGGAGCTTCTGGCTTTCAACACACCCACTCAAGGCAACATGAAACAACGGGCGTTCTTGATTATAGCACATGTGCGCCAAAGGGGCTGCTTAGTCGCTCGCAAAGCATAGGTTTCCCCGAATCAACTGCGCCTCTTTGGACAGGCGCCCTGCTTCGGAACATGGTAGACATGGCGGTGGAGCTGCTTGGCTGAAGTGACTTCCGGAAAGCCTTGACTGCTGATATCGCCAGCTTTTGAGCACTCACCCACATCCCACAAGGGCACTCCAGTTGCTGAAATGAACTAAGTTTTTACATTGTCCCCTGACCCCTGTTGGTTTTAAAGTTGGAATCGAATTCACCATTGCACATGTGTTCTCTCTCATGTCTACTCCCAAATTCCGAAAAAGCAAGCTGTGGATTGGCGTTCTTGGCATCCCTTGTCGGATAACCAGCTGTGCCGAAATTCTTTAGCCCGGCAGACTCCAAGCGCTGAGAGGGGAATTTCGTTGGTTTCTAGTAGGATTTGACCGGAGTTGGACCGGCTCTCAAAGGGGGAATTTGATTGGTTTCTAGTGGGATTTGACCGCAGTTGGACCGGGAATTTGATTGGTTTCCAGTGGGATTTGATTGGAGTTGGACCGGCTCTGAGAGAAGAATTTGATTGGTTTCTAGTGGGATTTGACCGGAGTTGGACCGGCTCTGAGAAAGGAATTTGATTAGGGATTTGACCGGAGTTGGACCGGCTCTGAGAGGGGAATTTGATTGGTTTCTAGTGGGATTTGACCGGAGTTGGACTGGCTCTGAGAGGGGAATTTCATTGGTTTCTAGTGGGATTTGACCGGAGTTGGACCGGCTCTGAGAGGGGAATTTGGCTGGTTTCTAATCGGATTTGACCGGAGTTGGACCGGCTCTGAAAGGGGAATTTGATCGGAGTTGGACCGGCTCTGAGAGGGGAATTTGATTGGTTTCTAGTGGGACTTGACCGGAGTTGGACCGGCTCTGAGAGGGGAATTTGATTGGTTTCTAGTGGGATTTGACCGGAGTTGGACCGGCTCTGAGAGGGGTTTCTAATGGGCTGAGAGGGGACTTTGATTGGTTTCTAGTGGGATTTGACCGGCGTTGGACCGGCTCTGAGAAATTTGTTTCTAGTGGGATTTGACCGGAGTTGGACCTGCTCTGAGAGGGGAATTTGGTTTCTAGTGGGATTTGACCGGAGTTGGACCGGCTCTGAGAGGGGAATTTGATTGGTTTCTAGTGGGATTTGACCGGAGTTGGACCGGCTCTGAGAGGGGAATTTGATCGCTTTCTAGTTTGATTTGACCGGAGTTGGACCGGCTCTGAGAGTGGAATTTGATTGGTTTCTAGTGGGATTTGACGGGAGTTGGACCTCAAAAAACCATCTGAGAAGGGAATTTGATTGGTTTCTAGTGGGATTTGACCGGAGTTGGACCGGCTCTGAGAGGGGAATTTGATTGGTTTCTAGTAGGATTTGACCGGAGTTGGACCGGCTCTGAGAGGGGAATTTGATTGGTTTCTAATGGGATTTGAGTTGGACCGGCTCTGAGAAGGGAATTTGATTGGTTTCTAGTGGGATTTGACCGGAGTTGGACCGGCTCTAAAAGGGAATTTGATTGGTTTCTAATGGGATTTGACCGGAGTTGGACCGGCTCTGAGAGGGGAATTTGGTTGGTTTCTAATGGGATTGGACCGGAGTTGGACCGGTTCTGAGAGGGGAATTTGATTGGTTTCTAATGGGTTTTGACCGGAGCTGGACCGGCTCTGAGAGGGGAATTTGATTGGTTTCTAGCGTCTTAGAGAGGAATTTGATTCGTTTCTAATGGGATTCGACCGGAGTTGGACGGGAATTTGATTGGTTTCTAGTGGGATTTGACCGGAGTTGGACCGGCTCTGAGAGGGGAATTTGATTGGTTTCTAGTGGGATTTGACAGGAGTTGGACCGGCTCTGAGAGGGGAATTTGATTGGTTTCTAGTGGGATTTGACCGGAGTTGGACCGGCTCTGAGAGGGGAATTGGATTGGTGTTGCTCAATTTGATTTGTTTCTAATGGGATTTGACCGGAGTTGGACCTCCTCTGAGAGGGGAATTTGATTGGTTTCTAGTGGGATTTGACCGGAGTTGGACCGGCTCCGAGAAAGGAATTTGATTGGTTTCTAATCGGATTTGACCGGAGTTTGACCGGCTCTGAGAGGGGAATTTGATTGGTTTCTAATGGGATTTGACCGGAGTTGGACCGGCTCTGAGAGGGGAATTTGATTGGTTTCTGGTGGGATTTGACCGGAGTTTGACCGGCTCTGAGAGAGGAATTTGATTGGTTTCTAATGGGATTTGACCGGAGTTGGACCGGCTCTGAGAAAGGAATTTGATTGGTTTCTAGTGGGGTTTGACCGGAGTTGGACCCGCTCTGAGAGGGGAGTTTCATTGGTTTCTAGTGGGATTTGACCGGAGTTGGACCGGCTCTGAGAGGGGAATTTGGCTGGTTTCTAGTGGGATTTGACCGGAGCTGGACCGTCTATGAGAGGGGAATTTGATTGGTTTGTAGTGGGATTTGACCGGAGTTGGACCGGCTCTGAGAGAGGAATTTGATTGGTTTCTAGTGGGATTGGACCGGAGTTGGACCGGCTCTGAGAGAGGAATTTGATTGGTTTCTAGTGGGATTGGACCGGAGTTGGACCGGCTCTGAAAGGGGAATTTGATTGTTTTCTAGTGGGATTGGACCGGAGTTGGACCGGCTCTGAGAGGGGAATTTGATTGGTTTCTAATGGGATTTGACCGGAGTTGGACCGGCTCTGAACAGGGAATTTGCTTGGCTTCTAATGGGATTTGACCGGAGTTGGACCGGCTCTGAGAGGGGAATTTTAGCGGGGATTTGACGGGTTCAGTTTCTACATGGCCTTTTTTGTGGGGAAATGGACCGGTTTGTGATGGGTTCCTTGGGGGGGAATTGGTCTGACTCAGACCGCTCGGTGGACTGGAAGCTGTGCTTGGTTTTGGCCGCGCGACGGGATGAGCCGCGGGCTGTTAGGACTGAACAACTTTTTGCCAACAAATGGAATCGGTTTTCTCCACTGAACCACGAAAAAAGTGAGTCACTTTTAGCAGGGGAGCAGATTCAGCAACCGAGAAAGCAGATGATGTGCTTGCCACTGTGGTGCGGGGCGAGTGGAACAATTCCGCGTCAACGTTGTTCTCTCCTTGTCTGCGGGTTGTCTACGGTTTGTCCACGCCCCTTTTTTCTGAAGTAGACATCGGTGGAGTTCAAAAACGCCCAGAACTGTTTCTGGTATACTCGTTTCGTTGGCTGAAGCAGTGATGACACCACTTCTGCTGCAACACGTGGGCCATGCAAGTCATGAGCAGGTGAACCTGGCCAGGATGAGAGAAAACCGCCCCTTAAGTTCCAGGAAATGTCCTTTTCCCAGAGCACATTTAAAAGACGTGCAAGGATCCCAGGGAAGGTGTATTTTGGTGAGTTTTGGGAGTTTCAGGTTTTTGCGGCAAAAAGTGCTACGATTTCCCGAAAATCCAGTCAACGGCGGAAACTACTTTTCTTCAGGAGGACGAAGGTCCAGGTATGTGTATACTTATTTGTTGATTTGGCGCAGTACGTAGCTCAATCCTTGGAGCACTGTCGTGTTCTATTTGTGTCGACCCATCGATTCCCAATTGAAACTACTGATCTAGCGCAGCTCAACAGCCCGCGCAGTTGACACACGCTTCGACAAGTGCATTTTGTTTTTTACCGTTTGGACTCTCATTTTGAGCAAACAGCGTCTGCCCTCTCACCTCAAAATGAGCCAGGATTCCCAAAGCCTTCTCTGCCAGTTCGCTTACCGATTGTTTTCCGTTTTTGTTGGTCAAAGGGGTTGCTAATTCCAGACACGGTGCTAAAAACAGGATTCATGAAGAATTCCAAATTGCCACCAAAACAGTTTTGTTTGTGGGGAAATTGGCCTCATCCATGTGGGTTACCAGCAATTGCCACCAAAACAGATAAGCAGAATGCTTGGAAGGCTTGGGTTCGATTCATTGCCCGTCCGAGTTTTTGGCCGCAAGCCAGCAACCGCAAGAAGTTTGTGGATGCGCGCCTCAACGAGAGCACGGCCTGTGTGCTGTCGCGACCTGGCCATGGACACGGACTCGAAGAAGTGAACAATTTTGGCTGTTTCCCTATCGCTTGCGGTTTGTGTCTTGTTGTTACAATCCTGTGTCTTGTTGTAACCAATCCAACCAAGCTCAAGATAAGTCTGCGGTTGTGTCTTGTTGTTACAATCCTGTAAACAATAGTGAACGTATTTTTCAGACTTATCTTGAGCTTGGTTGGATGTGCTCTGAGTATGCTATCACTGGAGTAAACACGTGCTTTTCAACGTCCCACATGATATGTCCATTCCACGTGTTCAAATCTTGGGAGGTCGAATATGTTGCCTCAATGTCGTTTGTAAAAAATACTTACAAATAATTCCGAATATCTTCCAACAAGCTGCTGTCTAGCTGCTGTAACGAACTATTTCACCAAGCTTGGGCCGGAAGAGAGCAAAAGAGGCCAGGTTTGGAAAAGGGAGCTTCTCGGCAGCTACTGGAGGGTCATCAACAGAGAGGGACTACTCGATGCGATACGCCGGGCGGGATAGTAGCTGGGGTAGGGTAGGGTTCCTGCCGGTGCAGATGAACCGTGAGGCGGCCTTACAGCAGTCGATAACCTCCACAAACAAAATAATGTCAAATGTGTGACATTAGCTTCCATGTTACAACTTTACTCCGTCATATATAGGTTAACGGAAGTATAGTAGGTTTGGAGCATAGGCTAGGAAGAACTACGACTTGGAAGCGTGATCTTAGACTAGCTGTCTGTCAAAGCACCATGTGTGGTATTCCGTCTCGTTTACTGTGATCTCTCATGATAAAGCCTCGTTCGTTGTTGAACCTGCCCGGCCGCACCGCCCACCCTTGGCACCTCCCTTAAGGCACCTTTCAGCTCAGTGCCCAGCGAAGGCACGCAAGAACATGTCCGCTGGAAAAACCGGTAGCTACCCTTTCTGATTTGACTTAGGCTTGTTGGGACCCAGTCAAGTGACACTTTTCTTCTCGTTTCTGTTCAGTTGGTTCCCCGCCAATTTCTTTCTGTTGCCACCTAGGCAACACGGAGACTCATTGGTGGTAGTCTTATCCCAATTGTTGAATGGCGATCTTTATTTGCTGCGTCGTGAAAGAGCCACCTCCAGACTCAAGCCATGATCACTTGGGAGAGTTTCAGACCTGCCCGGTGATCCCGGAGACTTGGAACTCTCACGTGTTCAGGTATGGCGACGGACATCCCGCTGGGAAACGCAATGGTGCGGAGCCAAGGCTCAGGATTCATAGCTGCCAACAATAGAAATGATATAACACCTCCATTTGCTGACATGAATACCGGTTTATTTCCCCCTGATGGTTTTAAAGGGATCTAGCACTGCTGAACATGTACTTTTCCCGGGGGCTTAAGAAAAATATACAACATCTCATCCAATCCAGATTGTGCCATTTGCCGTCACTCTGCTTATTCCATGATTGGCTTGCTGAACAGCTGATCTACTGAAACACGTTCGGAGTCTGTGGAGACGCTTCCCTTGACGCAGCTTGTTGAGCGAGCGCGGTGATCTCCCTTGGACGTGTTTGCTCTCGGACCAAGGAGGTCAGGATGCTGTGCAGTTGGGAATCATATAGGAAGCGTCTCTGTCGGGCCATTGTGGCTATTGTTCAATCTCCACTTTAAGTGCGGAAATAATCATCGAATCTTTCGGAGCCATTCAGGCACTTGCTGGTGGATTGAGATTAGTCTTCAGTTTGGCTTCCTCAGCAAGTTGCTTTGTCATCGTATGGCCATGGGTCAAAATCCAAATCGTACCCCCAGTGAACATCAACCAATCCCCACTAAAATCCCGAAACAAAAAATGGGTGGTGAATTCACCCATCCCAGCCAAAATGGGATCAACCAAAACGGTTTTGACAACAGCCATCTCGTGTTGAACCTGTCGATCGCCGGTGGATCGGCATGATCGGCGCTCGCTTTTTCTCTCCAGGTTTCCTGGGCTTCAGCACCATCTCCCGCGTGGTGGGGATATTTGTCACCAACAAATGGCGACTTGACTGAAGATAGGTCTATCTTCGATTTGCACAAATTTGCAGATTTGTTTACAGTTATGTTCTTGTTGGTTTAAAGGGAATCGATTTCACTACTGGAAATATGCTTCTTTTTTTCCAGGGGGCTTGAGCTAGCAAATGGAAGCTAGTGAAGCCCAACTTTGCCGAAATTGCTGGTCTTCTCATGTGCGTCCTGTTGGCCTCCCCTTTCCTGAGAACACCTGAGCAAGCAACGTACTGGGTTTTCTTTTTCTTGGCGCCCGGAGCCTTCAGGCAGCTTGATAACTTCCGCATTTGTCTGCAAGAAGGACAATGTATCATGCTTGTTGTTGGGGAACTTTTTACATTTGTGCTTGTTGTGGTTGAGTGGTTGAAATCCAAATCCACTTAGCTGCTAAAATTTAAATGTTTGCTCCCCGTCCAACGTCAACCAAGGTATTCTCATCGCTCCGAGCCATGATTGATCCAATACGTTGGGTTAGATTTACATCCTTGCCCGAGGCCTTTTTTTAGAACACGGGCCGTGGGTTTTTGCACAGGGCACTGGAGCTGCCACTGGTTTTTGTTTTTTTTCCCCAGGGCGCTAAGCTTCGCAGCAGGGTACCGTGGATTCCCCCAAAATATGGGTGTGTCTGGTTTGAGGGGGCACCTTTTGTTTGTGGGTCTAAAGGAAAACCAAACGGACAGCTACCATCTTGGAGGTTTCACCTTTAAACAAGACGCACCATAGAGGCTTCAATGGCAGAGTGTCACATCGACGGAGGCCGCGTTTTGCTTTTTGTCGACCCTGGATTTGGGGGGGGTGTTGTTTTTACCGCGCAAAAAATGGCAGGATGTCAGGTAAATCGCCCCGCCGACAATCCCATTGCAGTGGTTGCAAGTGTTTAGAAGGCCTTTGGGAAACATGTTTGTCTCAGGAGCCAGGCCCACGTGCTGTATGTCCAATTTTGCCTTTCGCTTTTTTTCAGCAACTTTTTTTTTGGGTTGGCCAGCAGTAACTCGGGGCTGATACCCTCATTCTGTTGTCAAATAGATATCCCCACCCCCCTTAAAGTTAGATGTCCCCGCGCCCTTAAAAATGGAATTGAGGGCAGGGGACTTTATGGTTGCATTTTCCGTATGGGGAAGACTGCATCAATGGAATTGGGTCCCGGACTTTTTCCCCCCCCCCCCCCTTTACTTCCATTTTCTTAATATGTTTTATGGATGGAATCTATCACTGGACATGTTTGCTCTTTTTTTTCAAAGCAAATGGAGAGGTATTTCCCCTGTTGGTTTTAAAGTTGGAATCTATCACTGGACACATTTTCTCTCATTCTTCTAGGGGGCGCAAGGGCCAAGCTTCAGCAGAGGTACGAGAACTTCACGGTGGATGAGAAGGAGCAGGGCAACAACCGCGGGGACTTGGAGTCCATCCTGGCTCTTATGGACCGCTTCGACAAGGCGACCGGCGACCTCGAAGGGTCGCATGTCCGGTCCGCGATTGGGGGTGGATCGGTGGTTTTCGGGAAAGGGAAAAGTCACTGCAGTTTTGGCCTGGGCGAGTTTTCAAGTTGAGTGGGGGAAGATAGAAAGGACCCCTTTTGATCAACTCCCAATGCGTTGAAATCCAGGTCTCGGTCAGCTTCTAAGTGTTTATTGCTGTGCTTGATTGCCTGGAATGGATGGGTTCGACGCACACGGAGGCTTCACATGATCCTTGGTGCATTTTGCTTGGCTGTTAGGACTGAACAACTTTTTGCCAACTAATGGGTCTTCCACTAAACCACAAAAAGTTATTCACTTCTAGCAGGGGAGCAGAAGCAACCGAGTGATGTCAATGCGTTTCTGGTTGATTTTGCTGCAGAGTTCTGAGCCGAGTCTGATGAATGCTGAGACTTGATGCAGGGGTCTCGTTCATTTGTGTTGCTCGCCCCGAGGAGGATTGGACCTGCTCTGGCTCGCTCTTCTTTACCCTCTACGCGATTCTCACAGGCTCGCACACGCATGCCAGCTGAAGAAGGTGTTTTATGAAGCGTTGTGTAAATTGTGTATGTGAATGCGTGGGTGTTTCTGCTTGTGTGTGGGAACCCTTTGAAGATGCAGAACATGCATGTCGGCCAAACCTAGGTTGCTTGATGTTGCTTTGTCTCAATCGGGCTTCAGTCAGCTGTCTACACTGGCCACTGGGTCCGTGATTGGCTTGTTGACGCTGGCATTGAACGTAACTTGCTAGGGTGGATTTTGATGACACGGGACGGATTGATTGCTTGCATGAGTGAGCAAACAATGAGCAACCACTAAAAAAGTTGGTTCAAGGGATATGTCTTGGAGTGGAATGGGGTGAAAAGCTCTAAAAACAGTGTTCAACGAAGGATCCTCATTATAGAATGTGCATGTGGCTTCTTTTGCAGGCTAGAGATCAGGTCTTGAACGAATGCTACGATAGATGAGAAGCAACCTGAAGACTACGGGAAGACCTTCGCAAGACTGCGGGAAGACTATAGGAAGAGACGAACGATTTGCATGACCAACGCCCCCTCCGGGCCCCCTCCCCCCAAAGAAAAAATAATAAAAAAGGACAAACAAATAAGAACAAAGACCAAACAACAAGGCGAGTCTTTCGAACGAAGGATTTAGAGACATTCCAGTTTGGCAGATCGGGACTTTGACAGCGGTTCTGATCAAATAGGGCTGGTACAAAGTTCAGGTTTTGAACTCAAGGTACAACATATTTAACGTGCTAGTGTTGTGTTCGAGCCGCTGCAATTGTGTGTTTCATTAGTTGATAGGTAGTCTTTTTGAGTCAGGTAGTACACACAACCGCACTGGCATGTGGGGATTTGTCACTATTCCTGACCCCCAAAGGACCATGGGCAACTCTTCTCCATATGTGGGAAATACCCTTTCTCCAACTAACATGGCCCCTGCGGGAGGGTACCTGGAAGATCATCTTTCTCTCCAAGGGGCCCTTTGTCCGAAGCCATGTTAGTGGAAGGGAGGGTATCTCTTTTTTTTAGTGGAGTTCCCCGGTCATCCTATGTTCATCGCAGCTTTTGATCAACAGCACCAAGCCGGAGGCGTCAGCAAGACAACGCTGAATGGGAAGGATGTGGCCCAGCGTGTGGGGCGACTGGCGATCGAAAAGCGGGGGCCCCGGCCCGGAGAAATCTTGGCTTCTATTTGCCTAAGACTAGTTTGTTCATTTTCCAGGGCTCCTTAAAAGATACATGTTGCAACCATTTGAAACATGGCATCTTCCACCTAAATGAAGGGACACCACCATTGACAAGGCAATGTTCATGTAAGGATTTCCCTTGTTGGTTTTAAAGGAGATTGATCACTCCTGGAAAAAATATTTTTGTTTTTTCCAGGGAGCTTAAGCAGAAGGAAGTCAATCAGCTGGAACTGGGATTATGCGGCCCCCCAAAGCTTTCCAATCCCCCTACAAAGCAACAAGGCAATTCATACAAAGACTGTTTTATTCTTAAGGAACGTAAAGAGCGTCTCCCCATGCGTCCTCACGGACCCTGTGCAAAGCCGCCGGGAAATATCACCCTTGTTACTCATTGATTGTCTTCCTTCTAGTAAAACTAAACCAGTACTAAGGCAGCACTAAGCGATCTCACTGCCTGAGTTCCCGAACTTTAAGCTTACGAAGACCGTTTTAGAGTTAAACAAGAAGCTTGGACTTCTTTTGGCCCATCGATGGCAATGCCCAGCAAGGCGGCTCGCAGCATTAAGCCAAGAAGCCAACAACCGGAGAGGACTGAGCACCAAAGAGGGCGGAACGGGACCAATGCTAAACCGGCACACAGCACAACACACACACACACACCCACTCATTAGGACTAGACAAGTTATAGCTCACTGGCCTGAGGCGAGCCCCAAACCCAGAATTACGAGGTGGTTTCCGAAATACGGATTTCTCAAATCTGTGGGGTGTTGTTCGGCGCACCGGGGCGCCAAGTGTGGCCAGGTGTGCGAGATTCCGACCCCCGTAAAAAGCTTGAAAGCACATATGTTTGAGACAATCCGAGCCCTGAATTTCATTAACACGGGCATCAGGTTCTCAAAAACCAGCCGTTTCTGCTTAGTTCGCCCTAAAATGCTTGCTACCGCACTCGTTTGAGAAAATATGGCCCTTCTCTGTCTCATTAAGACTGGCCTCAAATTCCCAACAACCAGCCGTTTCTGCTTAGTTGGCCTTGAAAAGCTTGAAAACACAGATGTTTGAGACAATCCGGCCCTTCTCTGTCTCTCATTGAGGCGGGCATCACGTTCTCCAAAACCAGCCGTTTCTGCGTATTTGGCCTGAAGAAACTTGAAAACACACACGTTTGAGAAAGTCCGGCCCTTCTCTGTCTCTCGTTAAGACACATCAAGCTGTCAAAAACCAGCCGTTTCTGCTTAATTGGCCTTCAAACGCTTGAAAATACGCTCGTTTGATAAAATCCGGCCCTTCTCTTTCTCTCATTAAGACTGGCATCAACTTCTCAAAAATCAGCCGTTTCTGCTTAATTGGCCTTGAAAAGCTTGAAAACACACGCGTTTGAGAACATCCGGCCCTTCTCTGTCCCTCATTCAGACTGGCCTCAAATTCTCAAAAACCCGCCGTTTCTGCTTAGTTGGCCTTGAAAAGCTTGAAAACACAGACGTTTGAGAAAATCCGGCCCTTCTTTGTCTCTCATTGAGACTGGTCTCAAGTTGTCAAAACCGGCCGTGTTTGCTTAATTGCCCTTAACAAGCTTGAAACACACACGATTGAAAAAAAGGTTCAACAATACACCTGGCTCGACCCCCCTCCAATTTTACACTCTTTTAGGAGGCAAGGAAGGCGCCGAAATACGAGGTGCGAGGTGGACCCTTAATTTGCGAGGTAGTATTTTATTACTTTTTTAATAATTCGAGGTACGAGGTAGAAATTATTATAATTTGGCTAGATTAGGATCAATCAATACTAAACCAATGCTAAACCTAATACTAATCCCGTACTGAACCTCAAACGGATTCCGAGTAAGGCAGAAAAAAGGTAGTACGACGCCAATACTAAGCCAGTACTGAACCAGACTAAGGCACAATTCGAGGAGGACCGAGTAAGGACCAAAGAGATCCGAAGAGGAGTGATATGAAGCCAGCAGAAAGCAAGGCACACCAGCACTAAACAATACCTAGGTCCCCCAGTAGTGCCCTTTTACCCTTTTTTTGGGGAGGGTTTCCCTACTAAAACAGACTGGAGAAAAGGGTACCCTTATTCTAACCCCTCTACTGGAGGACCTAGATGCAGTACTAACTTACTAACCAATCCTTGCTAAACCAGTACTAAGGCAGCACTAAGCAATACTAAACCAACACCAATCCAAATCTCCAACGGTAGTAAAATAGTACAAAACCAGATGCTACACCAGCACTACACTAATAGACTACTTGACCACAGGCAAGTCTGACCCCCTAATTGTTCTGCTTTTCCATATTTAGTCCCTCAATTATTTGGGGGCAGGGGGGCGTCCCTCCTTTACGTACTCGCATGTGCATGGTGCATTCACTCATGGCGATAGACTGCCCGAATGCTCA